TTTGAGTACCTGCGAAGAGTATTTGAGGGTAGAAACAGACAAGTTGTCCTGCCATAGCTAATCTGTTTTATTGGGCATGATGCCCCTTTTCCCACCTCAGGCAGGGACCTAGTGTGGGCCAAGGGGTAACATATTTCCCTTGCCAGGGGATTCTTCACATCCCTGAACCTGTGCTGACTTGTCCAGCTGGGTGAAGTGTGGGGCAGTGCAAGTCCTGGCTAGGAGGCAAAGGGTGGTGCAGAAGCTGAGGAATTCCTGGCCCTCTGTGCCTCCATGCTAGGATCCGCCTTGCGTCCTGTGCAACTTGTGCTTCAGGTAGAGGCATGGGTTGCTGTGGGGGTGGTGCAGGAGTGGGAGCTGGGGACTCTTTGGCTTTCACGTTGTCTTGTGGTGACCTGTGCTTCTGTGTGAGGCCTCGGTAGTGTAGGTGCCAGCATGGAGGCATGGGATTCCCTGGTTAAGGAGACACAAGTGGGAGATCCTGGGGGTTTGTTGCCATAAGTGGGGAACAACAGGCTTTTTCTACATATGGAGACATCATGGTGAAATCCTGAGCATATGATTCCAGGAGTGGGAAAACCTCAGATTTCTGTGCTTACTGAGATGGACTCAGAGCCATGGTCCATAGAAACTCAAATGGGGGGAAGTGGGGCCTGAGGGGCCTGATCCTGCCCTGGAGTTCGCAGCATGTACAGCATTGAGCCCCTCAAGTTGCTGGAGTTATCTGCCTAGAGCAGCTGGAGACTGGAGAGCTTTGACTGCTACAGTCTCCCACCACCAAGCAGTAAGCAGCACAATCTATTTCCACCTTTGCCACAGCCATATGATTTGGGCATCTGTAGTGACAAAAAGGTATGGATGCCTGTTTGTTTCACTATTGCAGCACATCAGGGAGATTTGTAAATTAAGGTTGCATGGGCAGTATTAAGTGACACTTCTTAACTTCTGGATCTTGGTGACTCTTCCAATAACAAACGTACAAGGTACGTGTCAAGGGTTAAGGAGAGAGAGAGGTTCTGATGAAGGAAGAGAAAGACAAAGCTATACTTCTGTTGCAGTGTCATTCTAGATTGGAAAAACAAGGACAGGATGATGTCCCTGTCCCCGCTCTTCAACCCCACATGCTTGTTTTCTGGTCCCATTTTAGTTTTCCTTGCTGCAATCATGTCTCCCTCTGTTCTTTCCCTCTTGATTAGGAGCCTGCCTCACAACGATGCCAAAAACAACTCTTCATCCCTGGTACAGTGTCAGGGCATCCAATTTTTATTCATCCTGCTCCCTTCTTACCAGGAAGCTGCCAGACTGACTTTGGGGGGGGGGGCTTGGTGCCAGTTCCTGTATTGGAGTAAAAATAGCTTCAAAATTAGGGCCTGGAATCCTATATTTGATGTACAACCAGGATGGGGAGAGAGAAGAGACTTGACTGACTAGAGGAACTTGCTGTCATAGATACTTTGGAAAGTTTTGAACTTCTCTTGAACAAGGAAATGCCTGATTAAGGAACCTGAACAACCTTGCTGCTATCCTTAGTGATTCTAGAAAGGGGAGGGAGGGATTGATTAATTGACTTAACTAGTTATTTTAAAGCTGGGACCTTGCACTAAAACATCAGTTGTGATCAAGTGAATATTACAGTCATATGGTTCAAATTTGTTTTGGTTATAAACTAGTCCTTACTTGTCTAGATTCTTTTTTTTAAGCGTGGTTTTAAATTTTGCATTGCCTGGCTTTTTAAGATAATTACAAGTGACTATTCTTATTAAAGATGCTGGTATGTGCTCTCAACTCCATTTTGCTATTGTTAGTTTACAGGGACTATATAGATAGGCATAACTTCAGCTACTGTACTGCTTCAGTCCACCCCTCCTCACTGGATTTAGGCTAGGTGCAGGCTCAAATGTGATGGACATGCTGTCTTTTGCTGTAATACCAAGCATTTGGAACACTTGTTATATAAGTTAGAACAGCCTAGCTTCAAACAAGCTGCATCATTATTAATTTAGCTAAAGTTTAAGCTAGATTCAGCAAACCATGCAGCTGTTTAATAAGAATGACTTGGTAGTCCTGCTCTTGCTTGTAATATCCACTCAGAGAACAGACGGCAGTCTGATCATGGGAGAGATGGAAAGTCCTTTCATGAAGAAGCATGGCAAATTAAACCATCTGTATTGTATTTGAAGGTCTTAAGTTCAAATCCTGTTGGCATAGCTTTTATTATTTCAAATGGACCATTAACTTCTCAACGCTTAACATGTATCATCCAGAAACATTCAGACTAACAAAGCTACTTAAGTAACTTGGTTGATCCAAAACACTAATACATAGCAACAAGGGGCTTTTCTTCAGACTTTCCATGCAGATAGCTCTGGCTCTGTAGTTCTGTTGAACTCAGTGGAGGAAGGGGAGAAACCCTTTAGTAACAGAAATACCCTTGTTCTCAGAGATGTAAGCCAGTCTAACCTTAGAAAATTATACAATTTTTCTTTTAAAAAACTGAAATATAAACATGGCCTGCCAATAAGCATGGTCTAATCAGGCCTCAAACAAGTCTATAAACTTTTAATATCCAGGAAGTTCATTTTAAACAGAGCTTCAGAAGTGCCAGGTACTACCTAATAATAGTGTTCCCCCTATAGGCTGACAACTATAGAACCTGTATTCTTCATAAATGCCTCTCCACAAATTTTAAGTAATTTTACATTTACCTGGATTTTTTTAAACCAGTTTTTCATTTCACTCTGCTACAGTGGACTGCTTTAAAGCAGCCTGCCCAGAGGTAAGTAATGCCTGTCTGTGTCCTACATGTTCCTGATTAAAAGCTGCACGCGCTTTTTTCAGTTAGTGGAGGGAGCAACATAGTCCCAAAAGCTTATGGGTCATCAACATGTTTACAAAGAAAATGGATATGTGCTCCCTGATTAGCCAGTTGTCTTGGACCTGCTAGTTTCCAGAGCTGGCTACTGGCTCCTCTGCCTTAGGCAATGACTTTGTAGGTATGGTACTTTGGAAATGCACTAGTGCTGTGTGAGCAGGAGGGATACTTTCTTGCAGGACTGAAGTGAAAGTGCAGAGCATAAAGCTCCCTGTTCATGCTGAGTAGTCCACTGGTTTCTTCTAGCAGTGGGGGAAAATTTAGGTTTTTGAATCACTGCTACCTGATTTGGAAAGGGTGGACTTGAATGCCAGAGAGAAATTTTCACTATTGAGCTCAGAGTTGACTCATTTTCTAGTTTAATGCTTGTACCAAATGAAACAACTTGAACAGGGGAGAGAGCCCCTGTTGTTTCTGGTGGGGGTGGTTGGTGCTTGTATCTGAAATGATAACGCTCTTGGGAGGGTACAGTGCAGGGCAAGGTCTGGCCTTCCTGGCTGGGAATTGTAAAGAGTAAGAGAGAGACACTTACATGCCAGTCAGAGCAAAGGTGTAGGCAGCTCCCTGATCAGCTTGCTGACTTCTGGGAAGCACAGATTACTAACTCCCTGAGAATGGTTGGAGGAGCTTGGTCACCTAAAAGGGCTGTGATGCATATTGGTCTCAAAGCCTTTTTATGCATTTAGCCCTAGATCCTATGTTCCTGCAGCACTGGCTCTGCTTCCTTTCATAGTGGAGTTTTTATTAGGAAGCATGTGCTTGGCTCTTCTCCTCCCCCAATCCCCTTTCATCAGTTATGGCTCAAGCCCCTATACTTTATGCAGGGTTCAAAGTGATCACTCTTGCAACTGTTAAGGGACAAGTAGGGCTTTAGATGATGATGTGCCCTAAAACTGTTCTTCACAGCTTCTGGGCTGTTGTTCTTGAGAGCTTGACCTGGAAACAACTAGCATACTAGCTATTACTGTGATTATGGAAAAACCATCCCCAGACACATAAGGTGGCAAATCCTGCTTCTCTGATACAGAAGGGAACTGTTCTAACCTTGGGGCCAGTCTTTTTCAGTATATTGTCAGTGGCGCACATATGCAAAATGTCTATGCCCTCATATCAAGGGTATACCCTTCTCAAGTACCTGGCTAACCTTGATATGCTGCCCTGATTTCTGTTCCTTGCCTTGTGCTCCCTATCTGACTGATGCTCTGCTTTCTCTGCCTGTCCTCTCTCCAGTCTGCCACTTGTGGCTTCCCTGACACAGGTTAGCTGTTCCTGACCCTGGATGGATATACCACAGTGGCCTGTCAGTCCTGACTGCCACATTATGCTCCCAGAATAATTCATCATTCCTTAAACACGCCAGAATAAAGTTTACAGGCCAGAAGCTTGCACAAGGAAGAAATTAAAAAGCTGGCAGAGTGCCCTTCAGGCCAAACAATAGCATGAGACCAAAAAAGGGGTGAAAACCCCCCCCTAAAGTACAGTGCTTCAGCCAGTGACAGTCATTTGCTGCTTGGGCAATTTTTATTTTTTTTTCACAGTTCACCTACCCGGGGTCATATATAGGAGAGACTGATTTATGTGAAGTCTCCACATATGTTTCCATGTATGCATTCAGACAAGGAGTGGGGAGAAACCTTCTGCCAAATGCCATAACTACACTGGCTTGTATCACCATAGATGGGAGTGCAATATAAACAAGTGATTATGCCAGAAAAGTGGCATAATTCAGGAACATGTCAGTGTAATCTCCACTATTAGTTGCAACCATACAACAACTTCAGAAGACAACCTGCTGCCTCAGGATTTAACAGGTGTGTTTTATAAGCTTTTAGTGAATTCATCCCTTGTTCTCTGAGGTGAGCTGCATCGTAACTATGCTGCTGCTTTAACTTAATTAGTTGTGGGGTGATGAAACATTTCAGCACACGCGCTGATCAGCTGAGTGCCAGTTTCTCCTTGGAAAATATTACATATGAAGCTAAAAATGTGTGTCATGGTCTTGTGCATTTTCTGGGGCACAGCAAAGTCCACTATCCTGGAGGCTGAACTTGGGGGATTCTGTATTCTGCGCTGTGTTCTTTTTCAGTTGTAACCAAGTGACTGTGATTATGTAGTATGAAGACACTAGTATTGTAGGAATAGCTTTATTCTTTTTATATAATCTTGTTATATTACAATTTATGCATCAGGCTGTAAAATTAACAATAGTAAACTATTTTCCATAAAATATTCAGGAATGAAGAATTTATATTTACACTTCAAATAACGTTACTTAAACAGTGACCAAGGTATTAGATCTCTTCACGAAATGTTACATTAAGAATGGACGGACTCATTTCACATTCATCAAGGACAGTTCAGTTCAAATCTGTCGTCTGTATTATCAATACACAGGAAACATGGCTTCCAAAAGCAGAATTCAGGAAAAACACACTGCAGTTAGTACATTCTTATTTTACTGCATTTGGTCACACTAGTTATGCATAGGCAACAGAGATTAACAGCAGTAAATAACTTGTTTTTACTGAATATTAAAGGTAATGAATAATCTGATTCCAGTTGTTACCTTTCCTCAATCTCTGGTTGTGTTCAGGAACCCCCAAACAATAAATACATAGGCAGGAGGAGAAAAGATACAGGCACAGTTTAAAGCAGAAGCTCACATAACCCAAGAAACTGATCAGATGCATTTTTACCACTGAAAATGAAAGCTGCCCCATTGGCTTTGCAAAGCAATCAAGCTGCTCTTCGGTAAGAGCAATACTTGGCAAATACAAAATGTAAAACCAATTTTAAAAAATGGCTTAATGGACACTCTTAACTTAAAAAGCATATTTTTGTCTGAAATGTTTTTGTCTGCACTATTTGTTAGAAGTAGCACCTAAGACTGATGCCACAGATAATGCAATGGCAGTACTAGAGGCCAAGGGAAACCTACATCCAGCAAAGTTGCTACTGCCACCCCCAGGCTTTACCAATGGCAGCTTTGAGTCAACTCTACCTTCATACTCTTTTCACAGTTATGTGCCATGAGACTCAGTCCAAGAAACTCCCAAGTGTTCAACAGCCCAAAAACGGGTATTTCTGTGCACAAATATAGCTGAATGGTCTGGTTGAATAAACGACTTCACTGTCTTGATTCTGAATTTCCGGGCGACAAGCATGAGATGAATTGCAGATGGCTTAAGTGAGGGGAGGTACCATTTGCACTGATTGGGGAACCCAGGAACAGTGAGGACCACCAAGGTGAGGTAAGGGTGAAGTTTAGCACTTGGGTTTAAAGGTGCAACACACTCATGTATTTTTGGTATACTTTTTAATAAGAATAAACACTGCTCCTAAAATCTTTTCAAAAGTATGTTACTGGTTCCAAAATGAAAACTGCTCATGTCTTTCTTGTGTAACTACATCTTGCCAGACAATGTACAATGGCATATATATGGGAAATTCCTAGGAAAACTTGGTGATGGAAGGTTTCTGTATACAGACAGTTTTAAAAATAAATTCACATTGTAGTTCCCATTTTATTCCCCAAACCACACAAAGGCACTCGTTTACATTAAGGACTAATGTCCTGCAAAATTTCAGTCAAATAAAGGAAGCTATTTTAAGGTTAGAGTGGTGCTAAAACCCAGCTGTCACTAGTAACTTAAAACAGCCACATCAGGTCTTTCAGATTTAGTGGGGGGAAATGTTTTGCTTCAGGACCTAGACGCTGGCGGGGACGGGGGGAAAAAAGTCTCTGCCTTGAGCAAGTTTTTACAGCTGAGTTTTAAACCTGGTTTATAACAGAAACTGGCAGACCCTAAAATATGATATAGGGAGTATGGATATTATTCATTTTTTGTGTGGGGCAAAATGTTCTTGGTGCATAGGATTTCCCTTGTCCTTCCTCTGATTTTCAGTTAGCAGAAGGACAAAGGAGTTTCATTAAGTTACATTCCTTTTATTGGAATTATCCGTCTGCTAGGATGTTTAGTTAATGCATCAGCTTTGTTTTGCTTTCCTTCCAGTACTAACTTATTGACTAGCGATACAGCAGCTATCCCAAAGCTTTCTGTGTAGTTAGATCAGAAAAGTCATTAGGTTGGCTTTTAAATTGCTTACCACCCACAACCCCACAAAACTCAAACATCTTTTATGTGATGTGTAATTTAAAAAAAAGTTCATATTAGTTTACTGCATAGAAAGCATTACTCTTAAAATAGCAATGCAGAATTATTCCTGACAAGTCATTTCTAATTAAATCCCTTCCGCAAAGCTTTATTTTTGACCATGGTGAATTTGCTAATGAACACCTGGGCAAAATTTGGATCAACTACATATTGATATGTCTTAATGGTACTTGGAAGAGGCTCAGCAGCTGCTACTGGTGATATCTGCACAGAAGAGGTGCTTGGAGCAACATGGTAGGATGTCTTTGTGACGTACTCCACAAGTCGGTTGTATTGTTGTTCAGAGAGTCTCTCTCTCACCCCATCTGCCTGAAATCAATAAGACAGATAATTATTGGAATGCACAATATCTGCATTTGCCATTCATACCTAGTAAACATAGCAATGATTATGATTTATGAGGAGACACTGAGGGAACTGGGCTTATTTAGTCTGCAGAAGAGAAGACCGAGTGGTGATTTAATAGCAGCCTTCAACTACCTGAAGGGCAGTCCCAAAGAGGATGGAGACTGTTCTCAGTGGTGGCAGATGACAGAACAAGGAGCAATGGTCTCAAGTTGCAGCAAGGGAAGTTTGTTAGATATTAGGAAAAACTCTCTGACAAGGAGGGTGGTAAAGCATTGGACTGGTGCATCACCTACAGAGGTGGTGGACTCTCCATCCTTGGAGGCTTTTAAGGCTCAGCTCGACAAAACCCTGACTGGAATGATTTAGTAGGGGATGGTACAGCTTTGAGCAGGGGGTTGGACTAGATGACCTCCTGAGGTCCCTTCTATCCATAATTTTCTATGATTCTATGACTACCACCTTAAGTTTGTTATCAGGCTCAACTTCCTATCCTGGAACTGTAATATTCTTGTTGATATTCTATCTTTTCTGCAGCCCAGTTGTCTTCAACAGTTCTGTGATGTGTAGGCTGTCCTTCTTTCTGGTTCCAGAAACAATTCATTACTGAACTTGTGCTGGTCATGCCCCTTTCTCCATCTTACTGCCAGAAGTTCTGGCTCCATGGCAAAAGTTACTTGTGTTTCACTTTAAGCACCAACTGGCCTGGAAGGGTGGAAGGAAAAGCACGTGGGTAGGATTCAAAGTCCATCCCCATTACTATGCTGAAAGAAGTCCTAAAGTCCGTGACTGGATGATCAGGTGGCAATTCCCTTTAGCAATTTTTTTTTAACACGGGGTACTCCCTTGGGCCGTGGTTCAGAGAAGGACTGGACCTACGTCTCCAACGTTCTGTGCAAGTGCTCTCACCTTGGGGTCATCTGTCTTGCTCACTGGGATCAGAAATTCCACCGTGGACTGGAAAACTGATGGGAATGAGTTATTTCAACAGAGAGAAGTTTCACTGACTATTTTTGAGCATGTCTGTATCTGAGGAAAAAATCAGGGCTCCCACACAGTTCTTCAGTTCTGTGGCTGCTACCTTCTTTGCAAGAACTACTATGTCCTGACTGGACAGAAATCCTGACTGTTCTTAGGGATAGTTTTTTATAGATAGACCAGCTTCTATAATGGGCGGCTCAATTAATGTGATGAGATTTTCAGCCAGGCCACTACATCTAGTTCAGCAGCCAGGCCTCATGTCTGGTTATGTCCCTGGACTGCAAACGGCCACTCCACACAAACCCTTTGCTCATCTGAATTCTCTCCTATTCAGAGAAACTTGATTAACACAGTGGCAGCAAACGCATCAAAATCACATCAATCCTTCATGTCTATACAGTCCTCAAGGATAGCCTAGAAGCTCAATAACAGATGAAAGCACTCTTCATCACAGGAATATCAAAGTAAAGACAGCAAGCACGAGGGGTACACCTTGGAGCCATGGATCATGTGGCAAAACCAGAGGTGACAGCAAGATTTTGAAGAACTCATTATGATGATAAAAGACACTGTTCTCTGCTCTTTGACCTCAGGAGACATAATGTTAGTTCTCAGAGGAACAGCCTATTGATCATGAATAAGTTGGTAAAAACAAATTGTTAGTTATGGGTATTCCTTCAAACCAAGGGTCCTACCCCAGCTGGTCTTCATCCAGTCATCCATCTTGAGTAATGCTGCAGGCAAAAGCTGGTACTGAATGAGCTGTCACTTGTCCTAGACAGAAGACTAGCCAGAGCTCCTCTAGACAAGACTCGAGGGCCAGAGCTATCTAGCGTTCTCAGATGACTCAACACATGGATGGATAAAATCAGATTCTGGATTGAGACGTTATACCCTTGACAGCAGAATCCCTACTCCAAAGGTATTTCTCTGCCTCAGTGGAGCTAACTGATGTGTATTGCCTCAACTTCATAGGTCCATATCACCATCAGTTGCTGAGACATTTATGGCACAGCCCACTGCTGGTACTGAACACACACTATTACCCTTTAGCACATCATTAGTTCTCAAACTCTTTACACACTCAAAGCTCTACTGGTGACAGTCAGGAAAAAAAGCTTGTATTTCAGCTGAGCAAGTCTTCAGGGCACCACAGTTTTCCATCAACACTTTTCTACTGTCTACAGTTGCAAGCCAGTTAGTCTCATGTGCCTAATTCAATGCCATCATGTCCAAGTGGCTCTTCTAGTAGCTGGAAAAAAGGACATGACCAGCAAGTGCCTGGAAGTGGCTGAAGAGGAGGCATGGCTAACAAGGCAACAGTCAATGTAGAGTAACATGCAAAACTGCAGATAAGGGAACAGTATCACAGAACTGTGGGCGTATCTCATCTCCAGAACGGAAACCACTGACTAAGAAAAGAACTTGGAACCCGACCAAGTAAGTTGGACACTTTTAGCAAGCCTTGGTGTCTTTCTATGAGTATCTGCTTTAGTGTAAAAAATTCTACTCTGCTTATCTGCCCATCTTACATTCAACTGCTTCTAAAAACCCGCTTCTTCTCAGACCTATACATTCCAAGCTCCGCTGTCCAAACACTGCAGAGACACCACATCTACACCAGAAAGTTTTGTCAGAACGTTTGTTGGTGTATGACTTCTGTACGGTGGTTGCAGGCATACCGCTGGTTGCTCTTGCTACCTATCCCCACTGCAAGAGGTTGTGTCAATGGAAGGTGTAGGGGAGGTACTGTGGCTGGAAACCCAGGCATGCAGCTGCCAATATTTCAAGTCATTGGGTCATGTTCACACTGGCATTTTGCTGGTAGCTGCATTTCAGCTGAGATGTGGTTTGATTTAGGCAATTAAAAGGTTTGGCTTTAATGGCTTATCTCAAATTGGTGTGAGGACATATTCAAAAGGCAACTTCTGCTAACAAAACTTTGTAGTGTGGACTACAACTGTCAAAACTTGACATACAGAAAATGTATCATTGTAACAATTCCGGCACTAATGAGATAATAGGAATTTCACATCCTGTCCTCAAGTGAATCAGGATTTTACTGATGGTATTTAGTTTCACCAGTCTCTGCTTTTCCAGTTTACCCAATATCCTCCTTTCTTCCTAGATTTTCAGACTACTTCTGTTAAGAGTTATTGGAGCAAGGAGTTTTTGTATCTGTCTGTGAACTGGTTAGTGCATTCTGGTATTAGATTAAGTAACAACATAGAGATGTATGTTTGATTCTGACAGCACTTTCACATGATTCCTTTTCAGGGGTCTAACATAAGGAATGCTGTGATTTGATGCAACAAATATTATCTCCCCAAAATATAAAAAGGACAAGGTTTTTCCATTAGTAAATAAGTCATTAATTCAGAATCACTGTTCTTCAGATTGCTTTATATAAAGGAACAAAGGACTTCAAACAGTTTTGAACACTCACTCTGGTGCATCCCATATCAGCAATATAATGGTTAGGCTGATAGAATTTACTGCAAATTAAACAAACACTTTCAGGAAAAACAGAAAGAATCAAGTACAGCATGATCCAAGCAACCAAACAAGCATATTGTAAATAAAATTGCCAGGTGAGGATGAACAATAACTAATAATGTGTGCTATCACTGCTGAACCATTAGGGTAAGCATCAAATAAAGATGTCTGGATTCACAAATAGTTAATAAATGAACTAGTTTCGTTGTCAACTTGCAGGCAATGGAGAAATCATACCATCCTGAGCAATAATTACTTCACCAAGAGGGCTGTGGACATTCGAACATCTTCCTAAGACAGCTAATGTTTGCTAAGATACCAAGCTTATTCCCCTACTTCTCCAGAAAAACCCTCTGCTAATTGTTGAAATTTCAGCTAGAAAAGAGCTCTGCAAGGCAGAAGGAACAGATGGGTTTGATGTTTTATCCAGATGATAGCACCTCTAACAATGAAGGCAGTAAGAATACCAGGTGCTGGTGTCAGTCTCTAATCTTTGATTTTTCTGACCCAAGGATGGGTGTGCCATCAACAGATACTCTGAACAAACCAACTAATACAATTTTATCTTTAAAATGGTGATAAGATTAAATATATTTACCTCTGAATCATAAGGTACTCTTTGTTGTTTGAGTTGCACTTTCAGCAGATTTTCTTGTTGACTGTCTTCTACACACTCAATTTCTGTCACAGGAAATGCCTGTTGTTGTGTGTCTTCACTGACACTGACCACAAATAGCACCTCCGACGTAAGCAGCAAGCATCCTTCATGCTCCTGGCCTGATCCACTCACAATGACTACATCCAATGCCATGTGGACCTCTGGCCTTCCTAGAGACTGAAGCATTTTCCTGTTTAAAAAATAAGTCTGTGTTAGTAACTGGCTCAGGGATGGGGCAGTGTTAGTGAACAGATTCTTATAGATACTCTCGTTATAATGAATATAATTATTGTTATTATTTGGTTTGGATAGGGATGATTCTGCCTTAGGCAGGGGGTTGGACTAGATCACCTCTGGAGATCCCTTCCAGCCTTATTTTTCTATGACTATCACAGTTTAGATTTGTATCCTGCCCTATCCAGAAGGGTTTGGAACAGCTTATAATCATTGGCAATGTGTAGGGGGTGCACGTGCACCCCCTGAGATTGACTGTGCACCCCCTGGCAACCCAGCTGCAAAGTGCCAGTGGAAGTGCACTTCTGGATTTGCCACTGGCTCGGAGATGTTCACAATCATTTTTGTCTAGGTCAAGTGATTTTTCATCCCACTAGAGAAACCACCCTAAGAAACTCATTACAAATCTAGTGCAGAAAATAAACCTATCTTCACTAACAGCTATTTCTGGAGATGGGCAGTATTTTTCTTGGGCTCAGCACAATGATAAATAAGTAAAAATTGACTGGATGCCGTTAAATAAAGATCAGCTCTAGAGTTCCAAAGCTGGAAGCAGATCAGCAGTCCATCATTTGCAGATTGGGTTTCTATGCACTACCTTTGTGTTTAACATTCCTAAATAAACTGCTATAACTCAGATGTTCCTAGGAGAGCAGCCTGTTAACTTGACTACACGCCAGAACCTATTAATAAACAATGTAGATGTAAAAATGAGCAAGTGTCTAAATAATTTTACCAGACATATTTGACGTGGCTATTTGGAGCCTGCTCAATGTGTTGATCACTTGGATGATAGCGTTGTTTGGGAAGCTGAGAAAGTCCAGCTCCATGCAAAATACCTGCGGTAAGAGAATTTAAGATTTTTACTAGTTGTTTTCTGGAAAACAGTTACATGTTGCAGTGATGTCATCTGTTTAGAACAGTCCATAAAGCAGTGCAGAACCAAATGATGTCACATCTTTGGAAGCTGCAGTAAAGATAATTCATTAAATATTACAATGCAATAGCTGTGCACTTAACCCTAGTGCTCTTGCTTTAGCAAGAAACAAAACAAAAACAAAAATGTTCTGAAAGTTAGTTGTGTACTCGCTATCAGGAGAAACATAATGCTCTTGAGATCTATCATTTGAGAACAGGATCAGACATATTTCAATCTACACATAAAAAAAAAAAAAAATCAAGATTGTTGTTAATTTTCTTGCTTAATATTAAAATACTTCCCTGTATGCGTCATGATTGGTACAAAACAGAAGAAAACTTTGCGTAGGTACTGTATTTAAATGTTCAGTTCCTTAATCCAGCTGTTAAACACAGATGCATATACATTTATGAGATCTCCCGGGGCTTCTGGTTTATTGTGAATTCTTCCCAGTGCCAGCACAGAATGGAGACTACAAGAAGCAGTTAAATAGGTCTTCAAGTAGAATATCAGAGGCTAAAGATGATGCAGCATGTGTTCTTTCTGATGGCTTGTAAACTTTTTAAAATGAGGTATGGTCAACACAGAGAACTAGTGATTTGTAAAAACTTCACAGATATAATAAATGTCTTTACAAAACCGACAGAAAGCGGGTTAAGCATTGAGGTTTGGAGCCCTTCCTCAAAGTAAACAACCCAGAAAAATTATTCAGTCAAAATCTATTCTCCAAAAAAGCAAGAGCCAGTGTGGCAGAAGGTGTTAGTAACTTAGATTTCTTTTTTAGAAAATGGCTAATAATTTAAACAAAATATCAGTATTTTTTAAAAGCCCTTTAATTTTTAACACACATGCTGATGGTAACACTTAAAAGCAGCATCCCTGTTGTAACAGTTGGCTTCCCCAAGTTTGCAGCATTCTGCGAGTGAGAATGTCATTTACAGATGGAGAAAAAAAGAACATGTGTTTACTTCTGTGTGGTCCCCCACCCCTTGGTCCCTCCCAAGAGGCACAGTCCCACTTCCAATCCAGTTGTGGCTGAGAGTTTCTCTAACACTTGTGTGTTTCTCTCTCACGCACTGTCATCTATTATTGATACAGTTTTTATGTCTTTTCCTGGCTAACTCTTTTTGTCACATGTTCATGGAAAACTTGATGTGTTGTATACCATATCTGCAGTGAAAAGTGTCCCTCTGCTGTTATGGGTTTCTTGATAATGACTCCTTTGGATTTAAACCTAGAAACAGGAATTCTCCAGTTAACAGAAAGAATATTGTTCCTGGAACAGCAGGCCAGATTCGGATCCCACAGATGTGCATTTTATACCCGTGGAGCACAGTTTTCAGAGGAATCACTGCTGATTCACACAAGTGCAAGTGAAATAAAATCAGGCCTGCAATATTTTAAAGCCATTAAGAAAGGGACTAAGCTGTGCAATAGCCCCTTTTTACAAAGAGGATACAAAAAAAATACTAGCTTGTTTGCTTGTCACTTAACTTCTCGTCTCACAGATTAGTTTAAGGGGGGGGTGGTGTTTGATATGTAAAGGCAGCATGGAAACAATTGATTTCAAACTTTAATTCTAGAGAAATTCCTCCTGTTCCAGTCAATATGGCAAGAAAAAGAGATTATCCTCCAAGATTAAAGGCACAGAACCAAAAAGATGAAAGGCTTTTTTTTTTTAAATAGCTGAAGTTTAATCAATGACACATTTATTGTTCTTATGGCAATGGAGCTCTTTTTATTTTATTTTTTTCCCTTTTTGGTTAACCCTGACACCAGGAGCTGAAAATGTATGACCCTAGAAGCAAATGATATTAGCAAATGTAGTTAACTTTGTAATCATTTTGCATGCATTTTATTGGCCTGAAGCACATTTACGTAAATGGGAAAGGAATTACCCTAGCTACTACTAGTGTTTTTTCTATTTGGAGAATGCCCAGTGCCTGATAACTAAAAGGTTACTGATACGTCTAAAATCAGAAATCAATCCCCTAGCAGGAAGCACTTCAATTTAGAAGAGATATATGCCCACCACATGTTGTAATTTCTTTCTCCCAGATATTTTATTTAAAGATAACAAAACTCTCTTCTTGCTGTAACATATCAAGCACCTTCAAAATAATGCTCTAATTAGATATATTATCGCTTCCTTACATTTGCTGTCAATAACTTTTTTGCAGCACATATGTTTCTGTAACTAATTCTCCTGGCTTCCAAGAATTACTTCATAGTCACTGCATTCTGTGTTCTTGGTGCTATACAGGACTGAATCCCGTACAAGAAAGCAGCATGATGGGATGATTTAGGAGGGAGAAAGGCAATATTTATAACAAATCTGTAGCATTTTTAAATCTTTCTGCAAGAAAGACAGTTACTGATTCGTATAAACAGATCAAGCAGACTGCTTTTAAAGAATATTTCTAAGATCTGTTTGTGAAAGTTAATACCAAAGTCTTAGAATTGCAGAAACTCACCATAACCAGTCTGGGAGACAAGTTCAGCTGCTCCTCCAATTGGTTTTGTAAATACTCCCATAATTCCTTTTCCTACACCAGAGATAACACCTTTGGCTTTGTGCCCTGCTGAAGCTTGGGCCTCAGATATTTTCTGAAAATTCTGCATTGGCTGATCTACAATACCAGCGATTGCACCTGAAAAAACAAGAGTCACCAACAATTAATGAAGATTAAAATCCCAGAACAAGAGGAAATCTTAACTTTGGACTAGAGTTTTGTTTGGATTAAACATTGCACTCCACCCTCCTTTATACAGCTATTTAGCATACATTTACCAATTGTCTAAACAATACTTTCACTTCAGTTTAGGTTAAGCCTCTACTTCCTTTTTGTGTATCTATACTTTAAACATTTCAAATCACTTAACTGAATACTATGTTTTCATTTTTCAACTACTTTTTACTAAATGCCTCTGCTGATTTGGTATAAGTTAGTTCATTCTGTCTTGGCATACTGGAGATGCTGGGACTGGAATATATATCTGCTAGTTTTAAAAGACTTTAGCTATTATGGAAATGAGATTTTCTTGTAAGCCTGAGACTGACTTCACGAGAATAAAAACTGCCTGAATTCAATAGATCATTTTTATATCCTCTTCCACTGCCAGAAACGTTCATAAGCTAATGCAACTTTTGATATATTGCTAAGATTAGTAGAATTAGACTTCAGGACTTTTTGTTACTTTTTTGTGAAAACGATCATATTTTACTTTAATGCGCATGGGTCAAACTTTTACAAGCGACACAATGACCTCTCCAGCTTTTAGTATCAACAGAGAACTCCAACTTAAATCTTCCTAAATGTAAACAGGTATGTGAGGTGATACATTTCTTTGATCTTGAGTTTACTCAAGCCACTTACCACAGACATGTCTTTAGTTATTGTAATTTGACAGATAAGCTATTGGGAAATTGCTAAGACTACAATGATTGGACAAAGTGACATCAATTAGACAACGAGCTGCCTGATCTAAAGGGCCTTGCTTATTAATGCACAGAAAGCTTGCAGTCTCCTCAAACAGCTCTCAGTTTGTGATGCCTGCTGCACAGATCAAGGGCTAGGACATTCCCTGGAAAGAGTCATCTTAGTAGCCCCATGCATCTGTTAGGACAGGGACAAAGTGAAGTTACCCCTTTATACCTAGTACTGTAAGTGTGAAGCTGGGGACAAATGCTCCCCAGATAATTCCACTGACTTCAGTGGAGTAACACCAGGGTCAGTTGGCTCTATATGTTTATCAGACTGATGCACTTTCGTTACCCACTAACTGGTTTGAAAATTACCTTAAGAAACGGTCTCTGGATTAAAGGAGGAACTGCTGATTTTGAGTAATCAAACTAATGCTGCGCTAGTGCAAAGGGTGCTTTCTCCAAATGAAAACTGAGGGGGGGAAAACAACATTCACATTTTTTCCTCTGCTTTTTCCCCTACAATACTACCTGTCACCAATTCATGTAATGTGAAACCTTCCTCCTACAGACAACAGTGGATGCGCTCTTTGTATGAGACCTGTGTGCTATTCTGAACACTCGCTCAGACTTTAATTTCTGTCACATTCTTGCACTTTGTTTTCAGGAGTTAGTGACATGCAGCCCACGGGCTGGATCTGACTTGCGGAGCTGGGGACTGCTGGGCAGTATTCTGGTGATGGCAGGATTCAGCAGCGAGGGTTTTTGCCCATGTCACACCACACCCAGGTGGGGAGAAATTTTGCCTGTGTGGCAACCAAGCAGCATGGAGAAGCAGTGGTAGCAGTAGGCAGGTCCTAGTGCCAGCCTACCTCAGAGCTGAGCTGGGTCATTCCAGACTCCTGCCACTAAAAGACTGCTGACCATTGTACTATGAGGCCAGGTACAAAACTTTCTTAATTATATGCCATGGAACCAGAATGGTTTACATTTCAATTCCATTTCACTATTAGTTAAAAGCTGATCATGCTGCTTAAGTAAATAATAAACCAACACCCATTACACAATTGGGGTTGTTCATTCAGCCCTTCCTTTTGTAGGACAGTAATGCATTTGAAGTAAAAAAAACAATACTTTGTGCTCTATTAGGTTACAGTATTATGTTTCCCTGCAACCTCTTTCACCCTATCTGTGGAGGTCATCCACAATGATGGCGCTCTCAGAACAGAAGTTATTGCCTTAATAAATGTAATCCACCTAAGTCCTAGCACTAGTAAATTATTTACTGCAATACACTTGAGCAAAGTTATACGGTAATAATAAATAAGAGCCTACTCCAAAGGACCTGTGATGTGCTCCAGGCACTACTCTGCTGGACTCAGGCCCAGAGGACAAGGCAGCAGAATGGAAACTGCTATGACTGTGTTGTAATTATTTACATAGCGCCCAAAATAATATATAATTTAATTAGCCAATTGTTTACTACTTCCACACTTTCTTCCACTCTGCCACTTACATATGCCTTGTACTTGTCTGTCCCCTCTTCTAATTGCACCTCAAAACTCAGTTCACTCAGGATGCCTACAAGAAATCACTAATACTAGCAAAGTAGATGAACTGCCTGCTTCATCTCTCTCCTCTCTTTTTTTAGTTACTTGTCCTGAACTGTGAGCTCCTGAGGATAGTATCTAATGCAGTGAATTTTCAGCTGGAGTGCCATGGCACCCTGGGATGCTGTGAGATCCTCTTAAAGGTGCAGCACAACATTAGCACTGGTAAGTGGGTACCTACACATGATTTACAAGATAAACCTAGAGATTTCAAAGAGGAGTCCATGAGTCAAACACATTCAGGTTTGGTGTGGTCTTTCTGAGTTGTTGTTGGTTTGTTGTTTTTTTTTTTTTAACAGAATAACATATTTTTTCCATAGTCGGAAAATGAAAAAGAGCTTAGAGCTGGCATTTTCCAAGGGGTGCTCTGATTTGAGAACCACTAACCTAATATTTACAAAATGTCTTGCACTTGGTGGGAACTACCACAATCCACTGAACAAACAGCAACAAAACACAGGCTTAACTAACCTTTTAGTACTTGTGGTTGGGTGATGCTCTGCTTTCCCTTGAACTATGAAGGGGAGACTTCCCTTTGTAGGGTACTCTCACTTTCAGGGACAGCAGACCCCATGTAGCTCCAATCCATATGAGGGTTCAAGATGGAAAGAAGCTTCCATGGCAGAGCAAGCTCAGGATCGGAAACTACCTTCCAACTAGAAGCCAGTGGTAGCAAAATGGATAATGATACAGGTGTGAGACCCAGCTATGGCTTGTTTTATACCCTTCAGTAATCACAACTGTGCAAGGGAAACCAGCTTTTGGGGCTCCTGACTCCATGCAACTATCCCTTCTCATACAAAGTTGATACAGAAAGATGCTCCCAAAATGAAGCCAGTCCAAGAGAACAGATATATTCCATTTTTACCTTCAGGCAGCTGGGGAAAGGGAAGCAAGAGGCCCAGCGGGTGTTTCCCACCCCATGACAGTTCCTGGACAGCAGTGATGTGATCAGAAGAGAGCCTTCTGCAGTCTGAGCTCAGGACATTCTTTCCCCTCTACTTATTAAATGTTTGCTCCAACCCCCTCCTGCTCTTTTTTACAGGCCCTGTAGACATGAACTCCTTTGTCCTTCCTGCTCCTTGTGTATCTGTCCTTTTCTGTATCTTCCCTGTTGCCCTTTGCCTCCCTCTCCCTCAATGCCCAGTGGAAGGTGTGCTCAGTACTTGAAGTGAAGAGCAAAGGCAAGTGACTGTAGAATGTAAACACTGTGTCTTCCATCGTTCATTCGTGATAAACTTATTTGGACTAATACATTACTGGGAAAAATCCTCCACTATGCGAAATATGCTTGTTTTGCTGCTAAACCAGAATCTGGCAACAGTGATACCATCACACATTAAAAAAACAACAAAAAACACAACTCTGTTGTATGACTGTCACCACAAGTCTTCTAGTTTCTGAAAATGCGGTCAGAATGTGGCCACTTATGGCAAACAGTGTAGGCTTAATCTTAAACTACTGAAATGAACAAGACCACTTGTGTGTAAACATGGGATTAGGATTAGGATTTGGGGTCCTCTTGGTGCTAACACAGTAACAACAACAACAATGGAAATCCCACTCGATAATATTTACATTGTCTAACAACACAGTTACTGTAATGCCAATGCTGCATTCTACCCACCCTACAAAAATCCATTCGACCAATCAAGATTTCTTGCTAGTAGCATGTATAGTCTGACTGGAGTCTGCAGCCCTTCAGTCTTTCTGAAAACAATGTTTTTTCTAAGATTTGACAGCTGTTCAATTACTCAGAAATGCTCCATTTCATTAAAAAAGCTGATTCAACATGGTATTTTCACTTGAGCCAGCATTTGAAAATTGATCCCATAGTCCCAGTATTTCTCTCCTCCTCTTTACATTATTATTTAAATTTGGATCATATGGTAAATACCATGCAATATACAAAAGATGATCTGCTTCCCACCCCCCTGCCAGCCCCAGTAGCTCCTAATTTAAATGCTATAATTTATGGTTTTATTATATTTTTTTATTTAAATACATAGCAGAAGCAAAGCAGCTTTCACAGGCTTTAAACTCTTTTGACATTAAAAAAACCTTACCAAAAACCTCTGCAGTCTCCCCAAAATGAGAAAAGAAGAAAACAGCCAGCCAAAGATAACGATCAAATCAAACAACACCCTGACAGTACTTGAGTCGTTTAAAACTAGACAGGACAAAGCACTCAAGAATGCACCACAGGGAACAACTTGCACTGAAAAAGAGACAAGAGTACATGATTTTGGCCCTGATTCAGCAAAGCTCTTAAGCACATGCTTAACAGCTTTGCTGAATTGGGGCCATCAGGAGCCAGATTTTCAAGTTAGACATGCATCATTTTTCCTACACAGCAACTGCAACACACATGTGAATCCATGCATGCAAGATGGCTAGAAATGGTCATCTGCATGTGCCCCAGTGCCTTGCAGGGACTTCCACATACATGATGTTGCTTTGACTGTTTGAACCTGTTTGTCTGTCTTATGCTTCTCATTTCTACAACTGTATATGGCCAAAGAAATGATGGCTAAATGGGTCTTGTAATCTTTGCTCTTTGATTCAATTTGCACTTTTCCTTCTTGGAAGGAGAAAGAATGCAGTGCCATCACTCCACTTCACAAGAAAGGTATTTTTTCATGCATCTTAAAAACATGCAGGTAAACAAAGCAGTGCTATAGAACTTCGCTCCACATACAAATGCTCTGGTAGGTCCTAATACCTGTAAGTGGAGAAAACTTTATGCCTGTAGATGCATGAATACTGTGTTTGCACACAGAATGAGAGAACCCATGTTTTCTGATCCTACTAAGGCTAAATAACAAATTGTGCCTGATACAGATTGCAATAAAGCATGTCTGCTGCTTATGAATTATGATGACAGGGCTCCATACTTGATGACCCCAGTTACACAATAACTTTTGGTATTTATTTTAGGTGGTTAATTATTTCTATTGCTAAGAATAGCAGGTTACTTTAGCAAAGAAGAATTTGCAAACAGAACCAGAGGCAGGGAGAACAAATTCCTCAATCCTGGGTCTGCTGAAATTTTAAAATGGCACAACACAGCAACTGCAATCTATGTGAATGCATAAACTATTCCTCTTCTTTGATGCTTTCAGGGACAGCAGCAGTTAAAAACAAGAAGCGATTTGGCATGTGAACAAGTTTTGTTTTAGAGTAACAGTAAGATCCAACATTATGTTTAGGAATTAATATGCCTTGAGCACTCTCTTTCCTGTTATTTTGCACAAACCCACAAATATGCACATAATCACTGCTGTCTTTCAAGGAGATACCCTGCACTCAAAGTCCAGTATGTATCAAGTTGGTATAATGTACTTGTAAGTTGTGTTACACGTCCCCCTCCCAGCTCACCAAGAATGAGTTATTATAGCTCCTAGCTGCAGCTCTTTAACTCAAGCTACAGAACCTCATCCTTTTAGTCCAGAGTACCTTGGTTCAGTCCCTATGGGTGCATCTACACATTCAATTAATGTGAAGCAATAAACTCCAGACCAGTTTGAGCTACAGTAAACTGCTCCTGGGCACAGCATCTACACATGCACCTAGGAGAGCAGTAATTTGAGCCGTGGTGGAGCAGGCCCCTGTCAGCGGTCACAATTTACATCCCCGGTCAGTGACTACACACGTGTTTCAGCACAGTTAATTACTTCGCCATAAGACAGTACTGTCCCCAACAGTACTATGTTACAGTGGAGTTAATCAGTTTTCTGTGCCCTAATATCAGAGCATGTGTAGAAAGTGACACTTTACTGTGGAACTAATTAGTCTACTTGGCAGTAAAGCGCATATGTAGATGCACCCAGTGTGTTAATGTTACAAGCACCTGAGCTAAGACCACCAAGCCATTTCACCAGCACTCACACTTTGGACTGACATAATGCTTCTAAAAGTGAAATCTTTCTTTTGGCTACTGAACCTGGCTGTCCCCAGCCCAATAAAATAGAGAGAGACCTCCTTTGAACTGCTTCTGATTTGCAATATCAGTAACAGTTTACTATAGGGCATCTAATATATGAAAATGTTCCTTTATACACATTTTTTCCCAGTATACTAGCTTGTCAGTTTACGGGCATTATCAGATGACAGTGCTTCACAACATCTAACATTATTGCTTAAAATAATTTCCAGTAACTTAACCTGAACTTGTAACATTTTACCACTTCCTCTTCAGGGCTTTCAGGGTTGCGGTTGCAAATTTAGAAGTTGTGTATAGTACTGAAGATTAGGAAACAGGACAAATCCTTTCAAGCTCATCTCTTCTAACCTTTTGCTCTGGAATGTTTTTGGTCACTTTGATCTCTAAGGGATTCATATGCTTTAATATGTACTGAGGCATCTTGCCAAACAATACAATCTGACATTTCTTTTCTAGTGTGACAAATAGAAGCATTTTAGAAAATGCCATTCCTAAGCACTTTAAACTAGAAAATTTCCTTTAAGAGTTCTTCCAAAGTGGTTTAGTTTTGAAACTTTTATGTAATATTTTGAAAAATAAATACTGATGTTCACCTCTAAGCAAACCATTTGGCTGCTTGACTAATACAATTACACTGAGTCAGACTGATCTGGTTCTTTTTACAAAAGTAGAATTCCTCATCAAAGTTTACTTGACATTTGCACTATGCTCAAGTGGTTTTCAAACAAAAACAAGCATCTCTGAGATCTATGGTGCAGCAGAAACAATCAGCTTCAGGAGGTTTTCCTATAACTCATTGGCAAGTAAACATCAGAATGACGACGTTTTTGTGCTGACTTGGTTACAAATCAGCAAGCCCACAACAGAACTATTTTTTTCTTTTGAAGCTATATATCACCTATCAATGAAAAACTTTCCTACAGATGACTAAAAACACAATGTTATTCCATTTCTGCAATTATTATTAACATGAAAGAACATTTTCAATTTGTCATAATTCTGGATGAAGAGAAGCACTATTTTGCATACATTATTTTCATGACCAATTAAAAAATGTTGGCTTTTGCGTCTGGAATCTGCAGGCAGCTGTACAAAAGTATGATGAGTAGATCATAACACAGTGTTATCATATTTAATAGTACATTACCTAGAAGGCTGATGCCTAACCGGGACAACCCCTGCCTCAGTCCTTCTCCCAGATTCTCTGGAAGCTGCCTTCTCCATTCTTCTTGTCGGTTGTAATGCTCCTCATCCAGAGACAGCCGATCCATATTCCGTGCAAGACTTGTTGCCAGATTGGTAATTGATGTCAGCGTACCTAAACAAACATCATTATATGTTTGAGTCTGCTTTGAAGTGTTTGAAATTAGAACACAAGTTGTGCTACAACTCACTGAAGCACTGTACTTACAAGTAGAACAGTGATTCAAAAGAAAACTTGCCCCATGCAACACATTTCTTATTACTGATAAGCAGTGCGTTTCTCAGACATGTAATGTCACATTGTCCCTCACCAGGTCTGCTTGACTGGTGATGAGGACAACTCTCCTACAGTTTCAGCACTTGTTCACAAGCTATTAAGAACCTGCCATCAACTGAATGGGGATAGATAGAAAATTAAACGAATAGTTACACAATAAGCCAACCAGGACTACTTCAACCAGCTAGCAAACAGCCACTGCAACTCCAAATATTGCATTTTCTGTTGCTGGCCTTGGGAAGCCACAAGATGGCACTGTTTCTGTATCCTTCCGAAAGAAAAACTAGATGCGTTTTAAATCCAAATTATGCCTTCATGTCAAAATGTCTCCACATACTTACAAAGTTATGACAACTGTACCTACTTTTTTTTTTAATAATACATATGATGAGGCAACATAGTGTAGGATTTCTGATGCTTAGCAGAAGTTCTGAACACCTTTAATATCTCTGTAGTTATCTCATGCTATAATAGCCAAGCCAACCTTGGTTTCCCAATGGGAGGTTTAAAATTCTGAAGTTACTGAAACACTCAAGCACATTGCAGTCAAGAAGTGATCTGTTTAATACATAAGACATTATATACGCACGTTGTTAACCTCCCAGCATTTCACTGCAACCTAACAAGCCAAACAAAGCAGCAGGCAATTTCATTTAAAACTTTAATACATCTTTTAACAATGCATAACAACAAAAGCATTAAGAGCAATGAAGTGAAAGATCTACCTTTGGAAATGTGTTTTACAAATGACGTTGTTCCTCTTGAAACTCCACTCACAAATGCTCCAGGGCCTCGGGTCAGGCCTTCATAAGGAAGCCTAAAGAAGTCAGCTATGCCATTCCCTATACTTCTCACCAAGCTAGCTGGACTTCCCAGGATTTCCAAAGATCCGACAACCCAGCCTATGTGGAGAAAGAGGATAAGTGTTACATTCCTAAAAGCTGCAGAAGCAGCAGTTGTGAAAAAGTTATTCCTTAATTCCTTTCTTTTTTTTACACTAGAATGCATCACATTCTGAACTTCCTTTGAGCAAAACACGGGAAACAACTCATCCGCTATGAATTCAGAAATGGCAATCTTTCATACTTTGTAAATCAAAGAAATCCCTTTGGCAAACTCACAAATAGCTTTAGAATGACTTCCTTCCACGAGCCTCCCGTATTTCTGCTAAAAGAGAGTGTGTGGAGAGATGGATGCTAGATTATAACAGCTAGGAGTAACAGGGCTGGAGGCTTCACTTGCTAGTAGGTTTTACATGCTACAAGGCAACTTTGTGATTTCACATCCTTATGTGACAGAATAGTGACAGCCAGTTTACAGTGATACAATGTACTGCTTCACGGGAGCATGGAGGTCACTTGTTTGATGGGGTGTTAGAAAAGGGGATGCAGAATTCTGACAAGTGCTTAAGGAGTTATTTTTAATCCACCAGAACCTTTCTTACTTGATCACTTTCTTTTAGAGGCTAGTTAAAGCCAGACAAATGTCTTTTTCTCAGTATAGTTGTGTAAACAGCAATGACATCTACATGCTGATTAGGTTACTCATAGGGGAGTATTCCTTATGAATATCCCAGGAGAGGTGTCTGTGGATCTGGTTTCCTATGTAAGTGCAGGGTTGCCAGAGGCCAGCCTGATGGCCAAATGCATGGAGCTCTGTTGTGAGTTGCACTGAAAAAGCTGCTTTGCAAGTCTTTTCTTTCTCAAGCTGGTGGATTGACAGAAGGCTATTAAAGAGACAGTACTGCCATAACTGTTTTTTCCAGCAGCCCAGAAAGACTGATTCAGAAACAGCAGTAAAGATTAACTGGTAACTGCCTGCTCTCTCAGCCTTAGTATTACAGACTTCAGCCAGTGTTGCCAGGGTTATACAATACACAATAGGGAGAGAGTCCTAAAAGATGGACTTGATTGCTTTTTTGTCTTCCTACTGAGACCCCTGAAACTTTTACCCTCCTCCTTCCCACCCCATCACTATGGGCTCCTGTTATCCAGATGCTTTTCTAGTAAGCCTCCCTCCCAGCCACACCTGAACAAGGCTGAATTAAGAAACGGAATAGAGAGAAAACATTACTCATGTGAAAGCCATTAACCTTGCACTACCATTAAACTCCTGGAAAAAGGACTCTTCTTGTAGGATCACACGTCAGCCTTGGTGAGTTGAGGAACCATGGTGGGCATGAGGGAGAGGGCGGGATGGGATAAGAAAACAAAAAACAAACATAGTTGACAACTCTAAGAGCTGCAACAAGAGCCTGAGAATCTTGGCCAAAGTCCTGCAGTTGCTTCCCCAGAGAGGTGCATCCCATTGGCAGCCCTTTCTTGCTGCGAGCTGAGAGGGAGCACTGCTCCAGCCGGGGCCTGCTAACCTTTCCCCAGTGTGATATTTGCACAAAAATGTATTTGGCACTGTGCAAAGTGCTGAGAAGCTGGAGCGGGGCAAGCAGCAAGTTTGTATGGAATGTGTCTGCTCATTGTCTCTTCTGCTCAGTAACACTGCTGTGATCATTTACATCTACCATACTGTCATGGCTTTTTAAGAAAAGCGTTCCTTGAGTTCTCCCACAAGCATTCTGTGGTGAAAAGAATGGCTTCTTCAGCTAAGGAAGGATGGCTGCAGATGCCCCAGAAATCATTAGTGCTGGTCTGAACACTTACCAGGAACGGTAACACCTTGGGTGTGGACACACGAATGCCTGGTGCCCTTTTAAAAGGGGAATATTTTAAAAGCAGCAGCTGGTAATTCTAATTGGTATGTGAAAAAGAATTGAGAATAGTTCAAACATAGTAAAACCACTCCAACCATAGCAAAACCACTCCAACTTTGAGTGGATGAAGGAGTATTAAAGTTGGAGTGGTATATACCAACTGCTGCCCTTTTGAAACATTCCCCTTTTGAAAGGGCTTCAAGTGTTCATGGATCCACACCCTTGGGCTAAGTACACACAGTCAAAAAGCCTGAGGCTGAATCAGTTCAATCTTCACAGGTTAGTCTAAGCTGCATAGATTGAACTAATAAGCATGAGACCAGACATTTATGTTTGATTTCAGAAAAGCAGCCACAGGCCTGCAGTGGCCCAGGCCAGAAGCTGAGGGGGAAGCAGGGTGCTAGAGCATGCCTCCCTGCTCAGATGGAGCAGACAGCTTGGGCCAAGGCTAATCGGCCCACACTGCAAGAGGGGACCTGTGGGGGAGCCGCAAAGCATCCTGGGAGGCTGGGGGACTGTGCATTAACTTGAAACTGAAGGGGATCTGGGACAGGAGTTCAAGAAACCAATTTTTTAACCTAAATCAGCTAAGTCTGATACTACATCTATTCAGGTTTATCTTAAACTGGTTTTGGTAATTTTGAAAGCAGTTTATGTGCACTGAACTTCTGTTGTGTTACAGGTTTAAACTGGTTTCCGATCATTTATACTGGTTTATGTGTAATTTCTGTCCTAGCCCAGGATCATGCCAGTCAGAGGTACTGAGCCCACTTGAACTCTGGTCATCCAAATAGGCCAAATATTTTTTTTCAATTTTTGTGGATAGGCAGGATTGAACCTGAGGCATAGCAGAGCAGTTCTGTTTCCTGAGTTATAGTGGTATGTGGGGTAGCACAGGGGCTGCTATTTTTGTGCTCCCCTAAGTTCAGAGGGCTAGTGCCCTGGTCACCCCCATCTTAATTATGGTACTGGTTGAAACTGGGTAAATATAAAGTTCTGAAGTGCCTGGTGTTCTGTGCAGTATAGCCTGGCTTTGGGTCATGAGCTTGAAGTCTTGGTTGGATGTGGAGGTGTCACTGTCATCTTCAGGCTGTGTATGCAGGATGAATGGAGGTACTATGCATTAGGCACAGCCTTTTCAGGCCAATGCTGAGAATGAAGCCAACAGTCTTTGGTAATCTTAGCTGAAGACTGGGTCAGAGTAATGAAGAGTGAATGTGGGAGGCAGCTGGGAAGGGGGAAATGGGGACTATAGTGACTCAAGAAAAGTCCTTCAAATGAATACATCCTGCATTAACTTTTACTTTGCAGTGATCCTATGCTGCATTAGTGTAATTTCAGCGTACATCCCAGTGCACTTAGCATTTATATTCGCCAAAAGAAAATAATCGTTATTACAGTGTGTTAATGCAGATCCAACCTGTTTTCTTAATAGGCAACTTGCTGTGATTCATTTGGGCTAATAAAATTCAAAAGTGTTATTATATATAATGCAGATTAATTAGAAAAGGGTGGGGAATTTCCAGGGTGATCTTTTGCTAATTTAATGTGACAAACAGGATTAACGTATTTAATAGCTTCCTTTACATGTACAGGCAAGGTCACCACAATTGTTATTTCCTCCCAGAAATGGAGTCCAGCCAACTCTTTGGTGGATGGGGGCCTGCTGGTTACAAATCCTAAAGGTGGTCATTCCAGCCAGTAGGCTTTGAGGAAACCTTGCTCTCTCAGAGGAGCAGAGGGTCTTGCCTGTTGTAGGGGAGCATATACCATGTAGGTGAGACATGTTGCTTGAATGCCATCGGACTCATATCTATGTGGACTTTCTTTGCATCATCTCAGGGAAGTAATTCAGAGAGTGGTGCAGATGTGAGCAAATGGCATCAAATGACCTTTCCTGCTGCAGGAGGCAGACATAATAACATCTGGGGAATGGGTCCATTTCTACAGTCCTTTTCTTCACCCAACACCAGACATATAACCCAGATACAAACTCTGACTGGATTTTCTCTCTCACATGATGAAGCCTTGTTCGTGACATTTTCTTCCCATCTAGATTTGATGACACTCTCAGACCCCCAAAACCACAAGCATTTTGAAGTACAAAAGTTTCTGTATTTGCCCAAGAAACCACTAATAGTTTCATTAATACCAGTGAAACTTAAGCACATGCTAACAACTAAACGTGTGTATGTACGTTCCTGAATAGCAATGCCTTTCTAAAGCAGGGTCTTATACCTTAATTACTTGCAGCTCAACTATAGCTTTGTCACAAGTGGCAGCCAATGCATCATAATGCTGCTTCAGCAGCAGCAAAGAGGGTAAATCTGCTATTCTGGATCTATAACTGGAATTGCTACCCTAACTGGCATGTTGAAAGGTAAAGCCAGTATGTACCCATTCCCTTCTCCAGCCTAAACCCCCCTCCACTGATGTCAGGAGGTGGACACAACAGCTCTTCAGAGCCTGCTTCCCCACCCCTCCTGCTACCTGTGATAGGTATAGTTACTGCATGGGGGCAAGTGGGCACCTTAGTTATCACTCATGTCAACACCTAAACAGAGCCAACATTTTTATCTCAATGAGTGAGAAATTAAATCTTCCCTGTAGTATTATATGGGCCTGGTTTTGAAAAAAATGTTTGCAATTGCATATGAAATAATGATCTAATTTGTGCACACCAACATCACATACAGTTCTGCACACAGTAACTGTGATCAGCTATGCAAATCAGGTATATATACATGGGAAAGACCAGAAGGCACCCAACTGGTCACATGAATGTATAAATATCTAATATGTAGGCACAATTATGATCATTGTGCATGGGGGACTTAATGCATTGTGCATGTAGCAAAAATGAAAAAATCCAGATTTTGGAAAATACAACACTAGTTATTTATGAAAATAAATATGATGTTACAAAGCCCTTTCTGCCCTGTCATTTATAAATCCCTATGTCCATTAAGGTATATCAGAGATTGGAGTCATTTTAGTTATAAATTTATGGGAGACAAAATTTTAAGATTGTACCCATTAATCTAATAGACTAATTGCTCACTATTGATCCTGTATGGGAAAAAGTCAACAAAAGAAAACTACATACTTTTGGATCAAAGGACAATAAACATCTGTGTGCCAGTTTAGCATGAAGGCTCCATGAAGAAAGACAGATTCCTAATCATTAACTTCAGCCAAAAGGAGGTTTAACAACAAAACAACATTGAGTGGTATAATTTTCCTTGAATGCATAGCAACTTATTGAATAATTTGATTAAATACACTTTTTCGGAGCTCATATTAGGAATTCATGTTTTGATTCTGACTAGCATTATACTCCGAGACAACAAAAAAACAAAACAGACAGAATATATTATTATGGTCTTTACTGAGCTTTGCAGAATTCTTCAGGTGGCCAACTAACGTTTATCACAACTTTAAACTTATGTCAGTTCAGCTTGACCACTTTATTTGACTCCCATTATACTATAGAATATATGGGACTTCTCAGCATAGCATAATGTTTGAGAACACTGTCCAAGGCAAAAATAATGGTACTATGTTGGAATAACTAGCTTGAGAGAGAATTTTTGGAAAGTAATACCACATGTATTATGTTTTAAAAACACTGACCTGCTCTGAATAGTGCCCCAGCAGCATAATGCATGGCCAACGCATGGACGAGCTGTCTGGCAGTAGTGAAGATAGGTCCTCGTTCAAACACAGAGAAGGAGAGAGGGGTATGATCTGAGGCTATATACAATTTTAACGAAGCATGGATACTGACCAAAAGGTTAACAGGTTGTATTGTTAATTTCCTTAGCTTAACTGGATTGACTAAAGCTTTTGCATGCTGTCTCACTTGCTCAGGCAGTATCTGGGTAACATTTGAAATTTTCATTGAACAAGAAACCACTTTGCTGCCTGGAAGATAGGTATCAAATAAAGTCTTAATGTAATAAACAAATGTATCTTCCACATATAGCCTTGCTGGTTTCAATTCGAAACTGAGGTCATTAACGTGAAACAAGAAATTCTGCTCTTCTGACAAAGCAATGTAAAGTTTTATGAAGCAATTTTCCTTATACTCTTCCAAATCTTTGTTGGACATGATGAGGTTGTTCACTTTGGACCACTGCATGGTTTCATTTTTCTCTCCCTGGCACAGCAGGACGGCAAAGTGGAAATTGGATCTGTTATACAGCTGATTGTCCAGTTGCAAGTCTCCACAATATATCTGGAAACTATAAAATTGGGGAAGGCCCTCAATGGTGTCCCTTGAAAATTCATGAGACAGGGGTCTCAGGTAACCGGCTACTGGTGCCACGTTAAGGAAAATGTGGTCCACTGTGAGTCTCAGAATTTCACATGAAGTTTTATGATTTGTGATATCATCCAACACTGCAAGGCTTGACTGGCTGATGAATATTTTAAATATGATGGTCTGCTCCTGCGTTCTAGAGAGGAAGAAAATAAAATATGTTTGTTATATTACTTATTTTGATTTTACTGGACTTCTTGGTTTTCCTAAGAGCTGTCACGAAGCACATTTTTACTGAGAGAGACAGGGAATTCATCATACAGATGTTATTAATATTAAAGGGACTGAGAAGTCTAAATCATGCAAATGTGTATGTATACCCAAAAGGCCATCTGAAAAAGAATATCATGAGTGTAAGTCAGGTCTGTCTTTCTCTCTCTTTCCACTTTATACATATTAGGATTTGAATTTCCCTACCTTTTATGCATAGTTATTCTCTACTACTTTTAAAATGTACCAAAAAATAAAAACAGACAACAAATGCAATTTTCCTGAAAATTTTAATGCAGCTTCAGGTGCTTTACCTTTGCTCTTTGTTGGCGCCAACACTGGGTGTTCCTGTTTGTGGATAATTAATTTCACATTACAGAAGCAAAATGCCTTCCCACTAAATTACCATGGCTGATTTGGTTGTGAGGTTGGTTTTTGGGGGTTGTTTTTTTTTCTCTCAGTGTTAACTGCTCTTGGCCAAGCTTAACTAGCAAATGGGATATGAGGTTCTGCTGATGAGCAATTTCTCAGGGATTGATACTTAATTAAAACTCAAACAAAAACTGTAAATTCACATTCCACTCTCATCATAACACCACCACTGGAAGCAAAGCATTTCAAATGTTATAAAGAGGTGATGTTATAATCACACTTGAATGGAGATGAGTACCAAGTCTTAGTAAGGTTATACCAGTGAGAGATAGTCTAAGAGTGTTACAAAGACAAGAGAGTGCTTCTTTAACTAATGCTTGCAGCACTGTTCCTGAAATCCTTACATATGAATTTTGCATGGCTAAGGACTGCAGGATTCGGCCAAATAACCTTTAATCTTCTGAATACACTCAAAATTAATTAGAATGGAAACTATTTTTAATTCTTTAAAATGAACAGCTCAGAACTGTTTATTATACCAGACATCTAGTGTTTATCCTAACGTGACATGACCTCAGATGCTAGATTGTCATGTTTTACTGAGATATACAAAACATAATATGTGGTCTAAACATATGCCACAGAGTATGCAGTGGCATTAGACAAAACAAACAGTTTTGCCAGATTTCATAACTCGCTTCACACACAGAAGGCTTAAGATTTCTTAACATGATTTAAAAAAACAATTTATCAATGTTCTTTATGATCTTCCATGTGCTTTATATACCTGTTCAAGTTGATCTGGACAGGTCCTGCTTTTCCTTCTGGTGCCAAAGTTATTATTATTGTTCCACAGTGATGAGTAATGTCCACATAAACATAACCAAAGCCAGTTAAGAACACAATCTAGAGAAAAAAATTAAGAACTAATTAGAAGTAGGTAAGATGCCACTGAAATTACTGATATTAATCTGTTACAATTTCACTCAATACTATTAACACTTTCTGGTTATGATCTTTTAACTCCTCTTACACTGTTCAGAGGAAGAAACAATTTATTTCAAAATAAAAACAAGATTAAATCCAGAGTCTTACTTATTTCACCACTGTTAATAGAGCAGAATCTCATAAACAGAAGAGAAAATTAATTTATCGTCTGTTACTTCTAAAGACTGTTGAATGCAATTTAAGTGGGTAGTACATCCCAGTGGGCATTAAGTAGGATGCGAGTAGGGAAAACAAGTTTAAATGTTATAAAAGTAACTAATGACTTTCAAACTCTGATTTCAGACCACTGAGAGAATCATGTCCCCCCTGAAGCTCTCTAAAATGGCACCCAAAAAGCAAAACTATGAGTATTCTGAGTCTGAGCCTTTTTGAGGAGAGTATCACTGTGCTTTGCTGTATGTTCCTATAATTAATCCACAATCTACTAGCTATGACAAAGGGAGATCACATATTCATGCTTTTACAGACGTGAACATGATATTGTGTTTGAACAGAATCTAGGACACCTTAGTTTTTTACCACTTAAAATGGAAGATCCTGCTTTATACCCAGATCTCTGGTAGCAGGACAGTCTCCTGCATCACTATGAAAATGCGGATGTTAAATCAGGGGAGAGAAGGCAATGAATTCAGATGCTGCTGCATTGCGTTTTGCTTACAGATACAAAAGCTTTCATTTGGGAAACAAGTGTGCTTACAGATTAAACATTCTTATGAAGCACGAAGGATAAGGTATTAGTCTGGTACTTCATTTTATGACAATTTTATTGATTTTTATTTTTTTCCCTCAAAAACCTACCGTTTTATTTGGCATATCACTGCAACCCTTGCTAGATCTGTGGAAGAGAGTTTAAGAACTGTTTACTAACTTTTAATGACAGGACTGATCAGCTACACCAGGGCCGTCTAAACGGCAGGGCTGTCCACAAGCTCCTGCCTGGCCACCACTCCCCTACTGCTCCTCCTGTGGCAGCAGCTGAGGCCTAGGGACAGACATTCAAAAAGCCTGAGCCTGAATTAATTCAATCTTTGCAGGTTACTCTAACCTGACTAAGCTAAATCAGTTTTGTAACCAGACAGACATCGCAGAAATGCAGGCACATGCCTGCAGTGGCTCAGGCTAGAAGCCAGGGAGCGCTACAGTAGCCCTCCCTTCCACAGAACTGGTGGGGCATGGCTAGGATCCAGCAGGGTGCTTTGATTAACCCAGGAACTGATAACAGTGTTTATCACCCCATTAAGAAAATAATAGAGGGATATTACCAACTACCTGTTGATTCTGCCTGGACTATAGCCAGTATGTGGTCTGCAAGCTAATGCACAAACACCTCCTCAGCAAGGCAGAGGGGAGGGGGGAATTCTTGCTTAGCAGGGCATGGTGAGGGGGAGAGGGGTGAGCGGCCTGCAGTCTCTGCCTGTGCTGTAGCCAGGGAGCAGAGGGGAGTGGCCAGCCCTGCTATGGAATGGAGAGCCCCGCCCAGCCTAGAAAGCATGCCAGGATGCTGGGGGTTTCTGGTTTATCTTAAACCAGCAAGGAGTCTGGGACAAACATTGTGTAAACTGGTTTGAGCTAAATCAGTTAAGTCTGATACTACATTCAACCAGGCTTATCTCAAACAGGTGTCAGCCATTCTTAAACTGGTTTATGTGCACTGAACATCTGTTCTGTTACAGGTTTAAGCCAGTTTTTGATTACTTCAACCAGTTTCTGTGTAATGTCTGCTCCTAGCCAAGGTCTCCAGGCTCCTCCTCTGTCTTCCACTTCCTATCCCACTACCGGGGTCAGGGTGGCACAGTGGAAGGGGACTGGGTTGCCCATGCAATGAGGGAAGGCACTGGGTTGTTTACATGGCAAGGGAGGAAGCCGGACTGCCTAGACTGTGCATATGGGGGCAGAGGGGGTGAATTACTCCTACGGTGTGCCAAGCGAGGAGTGAGGTGAGACAACGTGTGTGGCAGAAAGGGGGTTGGGAGCTGGATTGCCTGTGCAACAGAGGAAAGAGTTCTGAGGAGGGGATGGAGACCTTGACCCCTTTGGTCTCCTGCCCACACAGCATGTGGCCCCCGGGTCCCCAGAAGTTGGACAGCCCTGAGCTCATGTCAAGCTGACAGTGTCATTTGACAATAACAGGGTGGCATAGGGTCACTGAAGAAATAATTTGTCCTGCAGAATCTTTATTACTGCTAATGATTCAGCAGAATGGGACTCCCCAGTCCCACCAAAATCAGCCTCAGGCTGACTTTCAGGTCCTCAGGGAGAATTTTTCAAGGTCAGCAGTTAGGAAACAACATCTTTTATAAGATGGGCATGTTTCACTGGGAAACCAGGCTTTTCTTGGTGAGAACATGGAAAGGTTTGTTCCTTCTTCAAAAGCTCAGGTCAGGTACAAAAGAAAGAAATACAAACACAGAGAATTTGCCAGGCAAAACTTAAAAAAAAGGAGAGAACATGGGAAACTCAGCATCCAGCTCTGATGAAAAGGAGACCAGACTGTTGACAAACCAACTGTGAGAACATTATGTGAAATCCAGTAGTTTATAAGGCATCCAATTTTATGTGTGATTGTTGGATTTAAGATAAGGATTATGGTAGTTTGATATTATTGTAGCTGTAACTTGGTTTACATGTTCCACATTACAACTGCAAAATTTGTTTTCTATGGAACAAAAACCTGAACAATAGCAGGACTGCAGTGAACGGACATTATTTGCAGCCATACAGCCTCTGGCTGTGATCACAGATCACACAGTTAAGTAAGGCCAGCTGTGGTCAGTCCTTGGATGAGAAGACAATGATCTTCATTCTGAACAAGTTCTGAACCAGTGCCCAACCACTGTGCCATGTGTCACTGTTCTGTTAAGAACAACTGTGGCTATTATACTATAGTTACCGCTGTGATGCCCAAGTACTGTATCTATACTACACATACTGTTTTCTTTCTAATGGGATGTAAAACTGAATTCCTGACCATTTTTGGTTATTAAAATTCTACAGCATGTTGTAGAAGTATAGAAGAACTACCCCATGTCACAGACTAATTTCAAGTTGGGCATTACTGTACATTGCACACACCTCAAATTCCCTTCCTGCTTTCCACTGGATAAAGTATTTTCTTTCCTTTTTTGAAATCTTGGGTAGTTTTTTTTGTTGTGCACTTAATTTCCCACATTTCTGTTGGGGCTGCAACTGTTTTGGGTAAAATTATTCCTACATACAGAGCCAGATTTTGCCTATAATTCCATGGAGGTGAAAGGTTTGGGAGAGACATAAAATCTTTATAAGTCTCTTGTACTCAGGAGATGGGATAGCCAGGATCTCAACACCTGTGCTTTCCGAGCACAAGTCCTGGAGGATTGGGCTCAGAAATACCCTACCGCCTGAAGAGAGTGAATTCCCTCCCACATCAGCAGATAGACCTAAACCAGTGGTGAGGGTAAAGGCAAGTAGACACTGGGAGGAATGGCTTCTCCTCTGTATAGCTGACCTAGCGGCATTCTGTATATCCCTGTATGAGGGGCTTGTGGCTTTAAGGTCCACAACCTAGCCCTCAGTTAATAAAATTTACAAGTAAATTGGTATTTTGCAGGACAGAAGACAACAGATATTAATTGAAATCAGTCATGGTATTGTCATCATTATTAGTTGCCCCAGGAGTAAGTTTAAGCTCCACAGTTAAGAGTTACCACAGGTTTTGGCGTCCTATCCATTAAAAATGCTAAATTTGTTTAAGAAACTTTCTGAGGCAACTTATTCACAGACTTACTGTATGTTGCACAAACACATTTCCATTTAGCTGCTTTTAATTTGCTGTCTCTCTTTTTTATCCAAGGTTCTTGGTTTATTGCATTACAGAACCAAAGAAAAGTGTGGTGAATTTTCAAGATACCTTCACATTTTTATACATCTCAATTTAAAGCTAATTTCAAAATGGATAGATGTGAGTATATCTTATAGGAACCAAAAGCCATGCTCTTTCTATAGGAATAAATGAGTGCTTATTATTACTTTGACATAAAACAAATGATCTATGAACCTGTATATCTCAAAAAGTTTGGAATCCACACTTGGGCTTTATACAAAAGAGGAATGTTATGTCTTTAAAGATTCCAAGGGCTCCTTGAAAAAAAGACTGCAAGTAAATCCTAGTGTTTCAATAACTACGCCATCAATAAAATATTCAGGTCACCTATACATATAGAAGCCTGAATCTATTTGTGAGAGAGCATTAAGTGTTCCTGGAAATGTTCTAACTAGAACTCAAGGCAGAATCTGAGAACAGAAAAAGATGTCGATGATATCTGATTCTTTGCTACCCTGTTAAAACTGATCTTCCTGATCAAATTGGAAAGGATAGAAAAGAGCATTCATTAGAATATTTTAAAAATATCTGTCATTTAGCATTTCTGCAATGCTACACTAACTTTCAAAACAAACTCATGGACTTCTACACATATAAAAAGTGTGAGGAACCTATTTTACCATAACAGCCTATTTGTATGGACTGAAATGGAAATATTTTGCCTTGGGACAGAAGTTACACACAAACCAGTTTAAGTAATCAGATACCGGTTTAAACTTGTAACAGAACAGAAGTTCAGAGCACATAAACCAGTTTCAAAATGGCTGAAACTGGTTTAAGATAAACCTGGTTGAGTAGTATCAGACTTAACTGATTTGGGTCAAACTGGTTTATGAAAATTCTGTCTCAGACCCCTTCCTGCTTCAAGTTAAATCACAGTCCCCCAGCAGCCCAGCTTGCTTTCCAGCACTGGGCTGGGCTGGACTGTGCTGTCTGCTCCAGCAGAGAAGGATTGGGATGGGGGCGAGGCAGGGACTGCCTCCCCACCCAGGCAAACCCCAGCTGGGGTCTGGGGCCAGGGAGGGAAGGTTAAACTTCCCTTCTCCTGAGTACAAAGCTAGTCTGCTAAAAACTTACTGCTGGCTGTGACTGTGGACTACAAATTCCAGAGGCACCTGGAAGCAGCCACCGGAAGTGATGAGCAATCTCACAGAGTCCTGCTGCTGTAATTCTGGACTGCAAATCCCAGAGCTCAGGGGCATCAGAAAGACAAACTGAACACAGCCCATGCTGGCTACGTGCCAGAGTGCTGTGCTCTACTTCTCCCCCACCCATGCTTCTGGCCTGAACCACTGCAGGTATGTGGCTGCATTTCCTGAATCAAAAGAGCAAGTCTGTCCAGTTGTTTCTCAGTTTAATCTCTGCAGTGTAGACTAAGCTGCAAAGACTGAATCGATTCAACTTCAGGCTTTTTGACTGTTTTGTACTTAGCCTTTAAGGCCTATTTTGCAGTTTATTGCCTTCATATTAATGGCGAGATTCTCCAAGGCAACCTTACTTCTTCCTACTTCAAGTGCTTCATCAGGGAAGACACTGTCTCCTGAAAGTTTATATCGCGTATTACTACTATACATGTCTTCTAGACCAGGATGTCAAACTCACTCCACTGTCTGGGATGAATCTGGATTGTGGTGCTTCCTGCAGGCTAGATTTGGACATGGAGGGAAGGGGGATGGCAGGGCAAGCTATCACATACCTCTGTTTCAACACACATTGCAAAAAGATTTTGGTGGCAGGCCCCACCCCTGCCTACCCTACCCCCAAATTCCTGGCCCTTTTATTAGCCTCATGGACCACATGAGACAGGTCCAGATGCTGGATCTGGCCTGTGCGCCGTAAGCTGGACTCCCCTGCTTTAGACTGTACAAACATTATATACAAGTTTGGACTGTAGCAATGCTCCATTGCAGATCCAGAACAAAGCCATTCGAGAGACTGCATTGAAAAATATTTTATTATGATTTACCTGTGTGCCTTGATTATTAATGTCTATAACATCACTCCACTCAGTCATTAACTCATCTGGTGATATCACTTTCAGAAGAACACTAGGTAGCAAATCTTTGTTTTTGCAATCTGGGTAGTTAGAAACTTGATGATAAAGCTCATGATGAACTGAACATTCAGCTGGAATCTTGCTGCAATAAACTTCAAACTTTGGAGTGTCTGAAATTTTACAGAAGGTCTAAAATTAGGCTCTTTAAATATCCGCACTTAGAGATCAATCAAAACTCATCCATTTGCACAAACAGGATATTTTCAACTGCTCCTTCTGATATACTGCCAACACACAAAAAGCTTACTATTATTTTTTACACATGCTTTTGTTCATAACATAGGTTATATTTGAACAGATTCCTATTGTTCAGCAGAGTACATTTTCATAACTACAGCAGGACAGAGAAATGTTGACAAACTATCTTTGGATTGGAATTTGCTGCAAAATGTATGTTCCTTGGGACTGTGTTCATTTTAATAAAATTCCACTAATAAATCTACTGGCTTAGCCTCTTGAATCCTTGGCACCTCACTTAAAAGAGGAGCTGGTTGCCTTGAAAGTCTCTGTAACCAGGCTCATGGCTCCTTGACATTGCAGTTAAGGTATTCTGCAGACAGGCTGCCTCAGACCTAGGGATACCAAGATCTCTCAAGCTTTCAAGGCAGTAACCAAGTAGATTGCCTCAAGGCTAGGCTTTCCAGGGCTTCCATACCTAGAGCAGCTCACCAGGAAGACTGTATCTGAGCTGGGGCTCCCAGAGCTCTCAGCATTAAAGGAAGTCAAGAGTTTAAAATTTCTCCATAAAGTGGAATCTGTGTTCTGCCCTCAGCTCTAGTCATAACCAATGCAGATAGATACAGAACTGAAACCCTGTATTATGGATACAATGCCCAATGATTTAGTAAAAAAATGCTCATTTAAATTACGGCAACAGAAATTCCATACCTTTGATATTCTCCTTCATAAGCAATGGGACAGAGCACCTGTTGTGGATAATTATGCGTGGACTAGGGTCTTCCGTAAGAGTTAGGTATGTCACCCCTAGATGCTCTTGATAAGTCAGTGCTATAGCCCTGAAGCAAAGTAAGGTGATACACATGCTTAGATCATTTTTGGACTAACTATTGCTTTACCAATTTTTAAAAAATTCAACACCACTTCTGTAAAATTCTTTACTCTTACAGACCTGTTCTCCAGAAACTTACACATTTCAGTATGTGAGTAATCCTACTTGTTATAAATTTACAAAGAAAAGCAACAGAAAACAACTTTAGAGAAATAGCTGATTTCACTGGGACTATTCATGGATACAATTTAGCAGAGGTGTATTGGCAGGACCACAAATTCAATTAGCATACATTTGTAATGAACTGTAAGCAAGAAGAGTTTTGGGACCAGATTTCCAGAAGTAAATTCTATTATCTTCCATGCAAGCCTGAAGGAGTATGCTTTTTGTACATGTAAGTATTAGTTAAAATAAAATCAGTAACTGAATATTCTGCAGCAATGATTCTGAAGAGTATCACTCCTTTCAGTATGAGTGGTCTGGACTACTCCTATAGAGTACTCTTGACATTTTCTGAAGCAAAATGAATTAATTGCAACCTATATTAAGCCAACTGATGTACAATTTCCTGATATACACACACAAACACCTGTTAGCATGTGCAATTTTAGTGGTTGCTTCTGAAAAAATGGCTCCTCTAAAGTAATACCAAAATCTAATGCGCCTAAAAATTTGAACACGCCAGTTTTTGGAAAAAAGACGTATGGATTCTTGATATCTGGCTCAAATTTCTGAGGATATTTACATTATCTCTGCCTTTTATTCTTTGCATTCCCAGAAGCCCTAATTTTGGCCAGTATCCTTCTGTTTGAGGTTTGCAAGGGAATCTCTGGAGTCCTTCAATAACATTACTAACTTATGCACAGGAACTGCTGTTGAATGACTGAACGATTTAAGGTATTCCTTCCTTACTTTGTACAGACTGAACATATTGTTTCTAAAGCACCCCACCCAAATCTGCTGGCTAAGTGAAAAAACATATGGCTGATTCTGAACTCACTTACACTAATGTAAGTACACTTACTTTTCATTTACACCTGTGCAAGTTAGACTAGAATTAGACTTTAGGTTTGGAAATTCAAGTCAGGCCTCTGACTTGGCAGTATGGTTTTATTTTTAACTTGCTGGATTAATTTATTGTTTTGAAAGGAAAACATGCACTTGGATATAGTACGTTTTAAACTTGGAAATCTTTTCTTGCCACATTGTTCAAATAGTTTCTTGTTAGTGATGTTTTTCCTATTTTTTTCTTGCTGCTCTTACTAAAATATATATTGTTTGTTTTTGCACAGCTTTCAAAAACACTTCTCAAATTGTTACATGTAACAAATACAGAGTATCAGATGGCTAAAAGACAGTGCATGACAACATCTTTGAGAATCAAGAGATTTTAATCTTTCACTTAAAGATGCTAGAGTAGAGAAAGTATGAAAACGTGGCAAGACTTCCAATTCTACATGACTATTTATTTTGTGTGATTTTCTTTAATGGGTCATGTGAGGTCTAGATCATATTAAAAAAATTAACAATTAAAAAGTACATTTAATTACTTTTTGCCAATGTATCATGAATTTCATTCATTCTGGATGATAAAAATCAGTTTCAGTTCCTAGCTCTGGCACAGTGCTGCAATATTTGAGTTACAAGTGCTGCATGGCATTCTTTTAAGTCCAAGGTAAAATGTTTTAACTGTCTTAAAATAATCACCCTGAAAGCATCTGTATTAATATTCAGTTTTGCACAATCTGTTATAGATAAAACCTGCCTTGTGGAATTATATTACTTTGTATTGTACCTCCAACTCTTAAATTCATATTATTTCACAGAAATTTTAAAAGGCACATCTTCAATAGACATCTTTCCATTCTCCCTTATACTGCACATAATTATATACTTATGAGGAGGAGCCATGTAAATATTAAAATAGTACAACTTGTACATGAATATAACATTCAACCATTTATTATAAAACTGTCTAAAACATCAAGCGGTAACAATTTTTCAAAATTAAAGAAAGAACTGATTTTACATATGGTGGACATATGTTATTACTTCATTTCTATTAATCTCTTATGCTTTGTTTTTAGATGAAGCTTTATCCTGACAGTCAAAGAAGAATGTCATTCACATTTATTCAACATACCTGGTACAAAATCCACTTTCATTACAACTTCCAATGGGTACTGCCACACACTGTCTAGGAATCTCTTGTCTAATGACAGCTGGCAGGCTCCAACACTGAGAACTGTCAGCACACACACCTGGACTGAAACTTAGCAATATATGCTTTTGAATAGAGGACACTTCTGGAGTAGACTGACTAATGTCAGACATGAAGTCCCAGCAAGAAACAGAGCTTAATTTTTCATTGGGTGGTTCCCCAGCTGGGTAAATGTTGAATGCACTAGTGTCTGGTATGTTTATATACTGGAAAGAAAAAAAAGATACTGTAAAAATATGATGGTTTATGATAAAAAGTAAATTCATATTTAATTTTTTTCAATTTTAAAGGGAGCAAACAGAGAATGGTAACTAAGTATCAACTTATCTGAATGCTGGTCTGCATACATAGTTAAATTCTGCTCTCAGTCATACTCATGTGACCAAACTGAGTAAACTCTGCTCCTAATTACACGGATACAAATTAGGAATAATTTCACTGGAGTCAATGGAGTCGCCATGATTTAAAACTAGTGTGAATAAGAGGTGTGTTGCAAATAATGAACGAAGAACAGAAACTGGACTGCAAATTCTCTGGATTCACCATCATCTTGGCTTTAGGGTTACAATAAAATGCAGACATGACATGGGCTCAACTAATGTAAAGTACAACAATTAAGGAGGAGGAAGCTTTTTCAAAAATGTTTTCTGCAAACTGCACCACTACTTTTCTTTGTATTCTAAATTCTTCCAGACTACCTGATAATAAAAGTACCATTTTGTAACTAAATATTTGATTAAACCGTATCTGATGCTGCCTGCACTCCATTTATTGTTAGTTCATTTCTTACATATGCTGTGCTATCACTGGAAAACTGATATTAATGATTTGATACAGTTCCATAAAATACGTAACATTTGGGTGTCTCTACACATGTATGACTTTCATTTAGATAACTGGAGGCTTCCCAAAAGGATAATTCAAATATTTCAGCTTGCAAGGCTGATGCATCGTTTTTGCTTGAGAACTTAGTACTGGTTCTCAGAACTGTTTCAAGAGCCATTATGAGTTATACTGCCTATTTTACGTAAGTAATCTAATGTCTCTGAACAGATGGGGTGCCTGTAGAGGTGTGAAGAAGCTGCTCTGATGTGTTGTAATTACAGTGCGCCAGAGCAGTCTTAATTAATTAGTGTACTCCAGCAGCCCCGCAGCTCATGCATCCAGTGTCCTCCCACTTCAAAATGGCAGCAGGGCATTTAACTAAAGCTCTAAATGAGCTTTAACTAAACAAGCTTTAGTTAAAGCACCCCCGCTGCCCTTTTGAAGTGCAGGATGTTGAATACACAAGACACCGTAGGTGCTTTAAATTAGAGTGACTCTTGAAACCACTCTGATTAAAGTGCCCCAACCCCCTGAGCATGTGTAAAGATGCCCATGGAGACCAAGTCGAATGAATACTGCAAATGAAGAGATCTGTGTCTGTGCACAGATTTCCGACCGCAAGTTAACAACTGTGGCTGAATTTGCTCTAGTTGCTTTGTTTTTAATTAAACATAATTTAACATTATTAACTTCTTAATTTCTTTTTTGCTCATTTTTGTCAGATGAATTTGAGATTTTATTCCTACCTATTTTGAAAACCAAACAAAAATAATATAAAATACTTTACCTCCTCTCCTGACCGAGGCCTTGAAACAGAAATCTGTGGTCTATAATAGAACTGGTACGATGTATTATTAATTATGGTTGTCTTGTCTTCAATCTGTAGAATTTGAATACTATGCTGAACCAGAGAAGAAATGCAGAATTCACACAACTGTAGGGTAATTAAAAAAAGAGTGAAACACACAAATCTTTTTTATTGTGATGTAGTGAGAGAACCATAGCATTTCAGTCTAAAAACCTTGTTGAGACATGTATTTTATAACCTGATCTCCCTCAAATTTATAAGCATAATTATTCTTTATTGGTCAACATGTTTGGGAATTCACAAGTTTAATTTGTGTAATGCAATATTTTGCATTTTATGGATGAGTTGTACAGTATGTCCAGATGACCTAATTCTTTTAATTGCATTTGGTCCATTGTTTATCCTTCCATTGTGCTTTTGAACCTATTAAATTGGTTTTGAGTGAAGGTTTTATGTTGTATGCATTTGATAGCTTTCTTCTGCTGTAGGATTATTCTATTTTTTAAATAATAAAGTTATAAATCATCACAATTTCTTCCTAACCTTTTGATGACCTGGGAAGGCACCAAGTTTTATTTCAGCTTCAACAAATCCTTCTTCATCCAGTGTTACCACTTCTCCATTTTCTGTATCTTTCCATTTTGGAGAGGTCATGTTATGGACGAGTTTGATTGCCACTGACTTGTGCACAGTGTTTGTGCTTGCCCAGTAGATCCCAATTTGAAAAGCTTCCTGTAAATGAACGCTCACCAGAGTTAGCACTTTCTAATAACTCTAACATTCTTGCTACAGTTAATAGTAGTTTTCAAGAGTTCATTTACCTATAACCAAATTCTTTTACCAGTGTGCAAGACTGACATTTTTCCTGGTTAATTTTATATTCTAGGTCTTATAAATGGTATGCTACTATATACATGTATCCACGGTTAAAAAAATAACACATGGCAATGTTTAAATAACAGGTTGTCTACCTTGGATTGATGAAGCATTCTGGAGATGCACAAAATTAATCTAATTGTGTTTACATGCAGAGATGGGGTTGGGAATTGCAATAAGTGTGTGGCTAGACAAAAAACATATCAAAAAGAAATCCAATTAAATCAGTGTTGTTCAAATTCAAGAAATGGGAGGGGATATGGGTAAGCAGTCATATTATCTCCTGCATTTCAAATCCATCTATAGACATAATCAACATGCCTAAAAGTACATAAACTCCACATGCTGCCAATGCCATGAAAAAATGTCCCTCTCAAAACAAATATTCTTTCCTGGATAGCAGCTATACTACTCAGGCCAACATAAATTTACAAAGGGCAAGCTAGACTATCAGGTAGTGTGCAGCTAGGATGAAGTGTTAGGTAGCCTTACTAACACAAAGGGAAAATAGCTGTGCAATCTTCTACTCTGGTTAGAAACCACCACAGATTACTGGGACAGTGGTGCCAGATCTGCCAGTACTAGTGACAGGTGATCAGCACCAAACAAGCAGTAGGGATAACAAGAAGAAAACTGAAGAAAGCAATCCAATTATGCATAATTACCAAAGTAGTTCAGGTAGTTGTTAGGATCTTCTCTCTACTCTCTTTCAAAGTACATACTTTCATAGCAACCCTACTAGCTATACTGTACTGAAATCCCAGCTTGTCAATCACTATTTTGCATCCTACCCTGTTAATGTGCCTTTGTCTGTATCTATCCTATGTTGCCCATTCAGTATGGCAGATTCCAGCTAATATTTGTACCTTTGACCCTAACTATGGTTCTGGTAAACTTAATGGCCAAAAAAGCCTGAACCATGTGAGTTGGTAAGCACCCCTGAATAAAGTTTGAACACTTAGAAAAGTTGTGCCTGTTCATTTGAACAGTATTGCTACCTGGAAGTTTGGAGGTATAATTATTTTCCCAGCAGGTATCTGTAGGACTATCTTCTCTCCTTCAAATAGCCAGAGGTCCCACTTGGACTGGTTTATAAGCAGAGCCCATGGCAGGAGTTCTATCAGCAAAGTTTTAACACATGGCTTCCACACGGATAGTTTCACCCGCATTGGGCTATCCCACTGAGTGAGCTGTTCATTACTGTTTGAAGTAAGATATCAAGAGAGAGATAAAAGAAAATCATTAATATTGTGACATAAATTGCTTTTTATCAATCTAGGCTCTTCAGAACATTGTTTATAATACCACTTTATAACCTACCATTCTGAAAGAGACTGAGATACTGTCAGACAAATCTATACTGAAAGCCAACATGAACAACCCTCTCTGCAGGGTGTGATTAAGGTGGTGGAACTCCAAAGAACTGATTCAAGATTTCTTAAACCTGGGGTTGGTGTGAACCCTTCAATGTAATGCTGAGCAGCCTCTGAGCCAATCTGAATTATTTTCTGGCTGCAAGAGACTCAGTAGAAGACTTCCAGAAACACTACTGATGTAATAACTAGTATTAAAACTTGCCTGATTTTAAAATAGATATACCTCCCCTTCTCCTTGATATCTAAAACCTGGCTACTCAGGGCTTTCTTACACTTTGAGCTGCTCAAATGTTGATCAGTGTTAATGCTACTTCGTGTTTGGATCAGTCGCACCTTACGGCTAAAAACCTTCTCTGACTGCCCCCCACCTGCACAACTGTGACTTGCCACTAGAGGGCTGCTGAGCAGGGGCCAGACTAGGAGCTATAACTGTGAGTTGCTACTTGAGGGTTGGTGAGCCAAGACAGGCTTCTATCCCTGCTCTAGGTGGGGGGAGGGAGAGATGGGTTGAGAGGGCAGGACCATGAAGCCGCCAGGTGGGGTTTCTTTTCAGGGGAGGGAAAGTAGCTCCCCAAAAAGTACTTTACCTCACCTCTCCCAGCCACCCTGGGAAGCGCAACCAGCACCCCCACACCACAATTCTGATCCCAGTTTAATAAAACATGAGATTTTAGTTCAGCAAATAATTTTTTGCTGGGTCAGAACTGAAGCCATGTGGTCCTGAAGTCAGTGCCCTGAACTAGGAGGGCTTCAAATTATTTATGTACTCCCTGCCCAACAGGATCGGTAAATTAGACAATAGAGCACACTAGGGCTAAGGACAGAAGTTAAACATAAACAAATTTAAGTGATCAGAAACTGGTTTAAACCTGCAATGGAACAGAAGTTCAGTGCACATAAACCAGTTTCAAAATGTCTGAAACTGGTTTAAGATAAACCTGGCTGAGTGTACTGTCAGACTTAACTGATTTCGGTCAAATCGGTTTATGAAACTTCTGTCCCAGACACCTTCTTGCTTCAAGTTAAATCACAGTCCCCCGGTATCCTCGCATGCTTTTCAGCCCTGGGCTGGACTGTGCTGTCTGCTTCAGAAAGCAGGGCTGGCACCACTCCTCTGCTCCCTAGCTGGAGTAGTGAGAGATGGCTGACAAGGGGGCTTGATATAAGACCCATTATAGTGCCATAGGGACTCAACAGTACTTAGCCCTGATGCTGGTTCTATTGGAAATGAACAAATTGTGGGTCTTATGCACGTTAAATAACATTGCTACACTTCAGTGTCTCAGCTGAGGAAGTGCCTATATATTTTTGTTGTTAAATTGGTGCTGAGGAAGTAGTAATGTAAGACCCATTATTTTAGCTATAAGAACTACCTATATAAGAACATTATTTACTTATAAGCATTTTAACTATAAGAACATTTTCTATGGGTTTCTCCCATGCCTAGAAAAAGGAAATTAAATAACATCAATAAATACAATATTATAGCTTTTAAGTTATTTTAATAAATACTTCTTCTTTTCCAAGACAATGCAGACTTAATGGAGAATATTTAGTATATTACCTCTCTGAATCTTTTCTATTATATGGCCAAGCAAGCTGGGCAGTGCTATCTGCTCCATAGAATTCAGAAAGAATTTGATTCACATTGCCTCCTGTATGGGATTTAGTGGCTATCTGTTTGATAAGTGTTGTTGAGATGGGGACTGCACATTCTGATGGATCATCCTCTTCCCTGTCAAATGGAAAAATAAACATAAATCAGTTACAGTGCCAAAGTAAGGCTTGCATGCCATGTTGTGCAGTATCATAAGCACACACTGAAACCTGAATAATCTGGTCCAAAAAATTTTTTTTAATTAACCAGTGACATGAGCTGAAAAAGATTCACAAAACTTGGTAGTATATGGCACCACAGGGGTTTATGGTATATTCCTTCTCAAAATGCCAGAACTTGTATCTATAAGGAGTCAGATGTGGATGTACTGAGGATAACTGTGCCTGGTTTACAAACTCCTCTCACAATTTTCAGGAGCATATGCAATTACCTGTTCTACACAATGCAAGGTAAGGGAATATTCCTGGAAATACTGCACTGTAAATTAAATGACAAAATATTGTTTTTTTTCTATGCAGACAAAATCATATTTATGAAAAGCACAAATTATACCTAGCCTGAAATGTGAGATGATGAGTAAGATCAGGTTCTATATTCTGCAGTGATTTTTCCTGTCCTTTTCCTGGAATTATTTGCATTTCACTCAAGCCCAGACTTCTTTTCTCCAAATGTATGATAATAGGGTCTGGAAGATGGCTCCTCATGATAAAAAGAGGACTGAAAACAATCTACCAAGAAAAAACAAATAAAAAAGAACAGACAAACTTAATATTAACTCTATTCCTGCATCCAGCTGCTGAAACAAGCTGTTAATAAATCTTTGCCTGGGTCGTTCTGACCTTAATTTATTTCAGAACATGAAAGGTCAGGGCCATTTAGACTTCTGAGAATGGCAAAATGCACTTACTATTCGTTGCTGTACTTGAGAATTAGGCTCTGAAGTCAAAATTGTGCACCACACATGAATAATTGAACTGCTTGAAGATGGCACCTGTATAAAGGGAGATAGACAGTTGGCATTAAAAGTATTTCAGGGTTATAAAATTGAACATTTCATCATGTATCTTAGAATTTTGAGATAATGTAAGCCAACGGAGAAAGAGCACAGTTTAAGAGGAGAGGCAACATTGCTAATTGTTTAACAGAGGGTGCTAAACATGGGATATATTTAAGGTATATAATCCCATAAACTACTGACAGGGTTAGCCTAATCTATTCAGAAGCTATCCCCATCAGCCATCTCCTGATTGACTGATAAGAAAATGAAATTGAGTTTGGATGTGGAGAAAATGCCATTCCACTAGAATGTAAAGAAAAATCAGCCCAGGGGATCTTCTCCAAATTGTCAACTGTTATTGGAGACTACTTCCAACTGTAGAAGGAGAAAATAAGGATATGGGCACACAATCAAATTACCTTAAGGTAAGTGAGGTGTGAATACACAATAGTCTTAGCTATTCCATGGTGCACGCCTGCCTCATGTGCATACTTACCTCATGAAAAGTACAGGGCAGATCCCTCAACGAAATATCACAAAATGTATCCTCTAAAAAAGTTTTTGGTTTTGGTGGAAGGAGGAAGAATGAGGCTTTGAGTAATCACACCTTAAATTCACAGATGTTGTCGAAGGGCTCCTGAAATACAAGAGGCCACCATGCCTCCATATATGTGCCTTCACTGAGAAACAAGTATAGGAAATCATCTCTCAAATAGTTGGGAGAGGCATGAGAAACATGTCATAACAAGCCAATCACTAAATCTTTGCTCATTTGGTGGATTGCAAATGAGTGACTACTTTCAGCAAAATAACACAATCTACCATTTCTGCTTCTATTTAATCTACCATCATATTGCTTCTATTTAAGAATAGTCTCCTGAAAGAGTTCTTCATTATGAAACAAAATGCATCTTTTGAATACAATATATAATTCTGTTGGAATTAAGGCTGGGATTTTTAAACCACTACAGTAGAATCAGGGTGAGGTTCATGGGGTTGGTTTCTAAAGCCCTCACAAGGATGAGAGTTTGTGAACCAACTGGAGATAATATAGGCTAGGGACAGATATTCAAAAAGCCAGAGCCTGAACTGCTTCAACCTTTGCATATTAGTCTAACTTGGTTAGGGTGAATCAGCTCATAATAGCACAGACATGCAGGCACATGCCTGCAGTTGCCCAGGCCAGGAGCTGGGGGTGCTAGAGCATGTCCTCGGCCACAGGGAAGCTGTACTGGGGGAGGGGAGCAGCCAATCTGGCTGAATTGGCCAGAAGGGGTTTCATTCCCCACTCCCTGTCCCACCAGCAGGGACCTGAGCTAGGTGTGCCAGGCACGCCCCCCTTGTTGACACAGAGGGGCAGGGAGGGGGGTCCCCTCTACCCCTCACTGCCCCCAGGGGACTGCAGCCAGGTCTGCCCACCCCAACTGCCACTGAGTGGCAGAATAAGCCTCCTCCTGTCCCGTCTGCTGGATGCTGGAGGGAGGGGGAATAATCCCGGTCCCTGCCCCCCACACGGGGCCATACTGGCTGGTGTCTGGCCCCCAGGTGGGGGCTGGCTGGGGATCAGGCTTCCCAGACCAGCTTGGAGGTGATGCCTGCCACACCCCTGCCCTATGGAGCACCCAGGAATGCAGCCTAACAAACAGCCGCAGGCTGGCTGGGGTGGAGGGCTGCTCTGGCCCCCTCATCTGCAGCTTCCGCTGCCACCGCCATGCCACACCGCTGGGGTGGGGGGCCAGGAAATTTCTGACCCATGTGTGGAGCTCCATCAGCAGCCCCCAGACGGCCTTGGAAGATGCCCAGGTGGAAGGGTTCAGTCCAGGGGCTGCAGTCAGAGTTCCACGTGCTGGGCACAGGTCGCAGGGCTGATGATCCCCCACCGCCACCTCCCCGAGTGGCTCAGGAGTGGCAGGAATGGGAGGGGGAATCATTGCAGCAGGCAAGGGAAGCCAGCTTGGCCCGGAAGGGCTTTTTCCCCTCACCTCCGACTGTGGAGCAGGTGGAGACACTGGTGGGCCCGGAGCCTGGCATCCACCCACCTTGGGGGCTGGCTGCAGCCCAACAAGCCCATGTGGCGCCTCCAAGCCAGCTCAGCTAGCAGCCACTGGTCCTGCGCTGGGCCAAGCTGGGCTGTGCTCACTGACATGGCTCAACGTCCCTGTCACTGAGCTGCAGCTGCCGGGGGTGGTCCCACCCCTGTGGCCTGGCCTGGCCAGACTGTGTTGCTGCCACCTCAGCTTGGGCTGAGCGAGGCCAGTCCAGGCAGTGGGGGCGGGGCCACCACCAGCAGCTGTGGGTCCATTACAGCTGCTCCCCACACCCTGGCTGAGCTGGGCTGGGCTGGGCTGGACCAACCTGGGGAGCACTGCACAGAGCCTCCCACCACCCCTCCGCCATGGGGCAGGAAGGGAGCGCTCTATTCAGTGATGGGGGGGTACTTTTCCCCCTGTTCTTTCCCTCACCCCCATACAGCAGGGGGCTTTGTGCGGCACTCCCCAGTCCGACCTAGGTCAGACAGGGCATGGGGAGCAGCTGTGACAGAGCTGTCGCTGCTGGGGGGTGGCCCCACCTCCATGGCTTGGACCGGCTGAGGCAGCTGCATGGTCTGACCAGGCCAGCTGTGGGGGCAGGCCCCCAGCACAGAACAGAGTCCCAGCAGGGCCCTGTTAAGGTGGCAGGAAGAAGGGTTAATTCTTCCCTCTGTCCCTTTTGCCCTGCAGCCAGGGTCTGCCAGCCACAGGAGCCACTGCTGCAGCCCCATCCCTTCTGCTCCCTGGCAAACAGGCAGACCCTGGCTGCAGTGGGGGAAGGGGGCAAGGAGACAAGAATTAACCCCTTTCCTGCCCACTTAGCTTTAATGGAGCCATGCCCACTATTGCCTCTGCTAGGGCTGCTCCCTGCTCTGGCTAGAGAGCAGAGGGGTGGGGTCAGCCCCGTGGCTGGAGCAGACAGCCCTGCCCAGCCCAGGGAGTATGCCAGGATGCTGGAGGAGTCTTGTTTAACTTAAACCAGAAAGGGGTCTGGGACAGACAAGGCATAAACTGGTTTGAGCCAAATCAGTTAAGTCTGATACTACATTCAACCAAATCTATCTCAAACCAGTTTTGGCCATTTTGAAACTGGTTTATGTGCACTGAGGCTAGGGGCAGACATTCAAAAAGCCTGAGCCTGAATTGATTCAATTTTTGCAGGTTAGTTTAACCTGGCTAGGCTGAACAGCTTTGTAAGCAGACAGACATTGTTTCTGGACTGAGAAAATTCAGGCATATGCCTGGAGTGGCTCAGGCTAGAAGCCAAGGGATGCTAGAGCAGCCCTCCCTTCCCTTCCAAACTGCTGAGCTAAGGGGGACATGGCCAGGCCCCAGCAGGAACTCTGATTAGGGAGGACTGCTTGCACCATCCCAGGCTTTTTCCTGTTGGCTGCTCAAGGGGTGGGAGCATTGCCAGACTCCAGCCCCCCACTAGCACTCTGAGGTAAGAGGTGTGTGCAGTGCATGCATCTGTTGATGATATGGAGCTTTTCAATCTCCCTCTCCCTGCTTCTTTATACTGTCTTCAGCAAACTGACAAACAAGCAAACCAGCAGGGAGCTGATAACAGTGTTTATCACCCCATTAGCAAAACAACAGCCTCTCTCCATTAATTCAAACTCTTCTTAAATAGCTTGCCAGCTGACCTGTTGATTAGCTCCAAAAAGCCCTAAGCCATCACTGTTCCGTCTACTTGTACCAGTGAAATTGGAGACATACACACACAGACAACTCTCAACATTAGCTAGCATACCACATGCCTAGGGTCCGTGGGGCTGGGGTCTGTGCTGTGTGAGTTGGGAGGGAGGCGGGGATAGATCCTTTCTTCAGCAGCAAGTAGCAAGGGGCAGGTAAGGCAGGGGGAAGCCAGGCAGACCCTGCGTGCCTGCAGTCTTTGCCAGAGCTCCAGCCAGGGAGCAGATGGGAAGGGCCAGCTCTGCTGTGGAGCAGAGTGCCTCAGCCAGCCCACAGAGCATGCTGAGATGCTGTGGGAGTCTGGTTTAATTTAAACCAGCAAGGAGTCTGGTACAGACACTGCATAAACTGGTTTGAGCCAAATCAGTTAAGTCTGATACTACATTCAATCAGGTTTCTCTCAAACTGGTTTCAGCCATTTTCTTACTGGTTTGTGTGCACTGGACATCTGTTCTATTACAGGTTTAAACCAGTTTCTGATCACTTAACTGGTTTGTGTGTAATGTCCCTAGCCATATAGTCTCAACAAACAGCTGTACAGGACTGCAGCTGTATTCCAGCTGAATGGAAAAGTGCCTCCTTAGAAGTAAAAGGACTGCATAGCTCATCCTTTACTCAGTGACCTGCTACTGTGAATTAAGCAGGTTCTACAGTATTAAAGATCTATATGGCCAACACTCATGGACATTTTTAAACAGCATATTTAGACATCTATGTTCACTTCTTACCTGGATAACAATGCTATGTTCTGTTTGTTTAGAACCAAGACATACATCTCTTGACCAGTCTTCATCTCCTTTAGCTTTCACACTTAACTCTGTCAGCTCACTGTTTTCTAAAATGTAGGAAGGTAGCTTCTGTTTGGCTGCAAGGCAGTCAATATGTTCTTTAACAACTGCTTGTCCATCCTGACCAATGTAGTGCTGAACCATTTTAAGTTCAATGCTTTCAGACAGGTAACTACAGACTATTTGTCTTCCACAGATTATGATCTAAAATGCAAAAACAGACAACTTGCACAGAACCAGTTTATAGAAAGGGAAAAAAAACTTATTTTCAATGGCACCCTTTCAAAGAACTAATTTTTTAAACATGTTAAGTATTGCCTTACTCTTAAATGTTCTTGGATAATATTATATCAGGGGTGGCAAATATACAATCCACAGGCTGGTTCTTGCCCATGGAGCTATATAATTCAGCCCATGGGTCTCTGGATTGACCCCATGTTCTGGCCCAAGCCCTGTCCACTACTTGCAGCCCACACCCTGGATTTGCATGCAGTGCCAAGTTCAACCCTTGCACTGTGGGCAGTGCATACCCTGTGCCAGCCCCAGGGCCTACGTGCACAGTGAGGTCTGGGGTAGTACATGCTCCGCGTGGAGTGTAGGACTGATTTAAGGCAGGATTGTTGCGCCATTGCAGTGACTTGGTCAGGAGGGAGTTGCGTAAAGTGCATGCTCCATACTAGTTCACCATGTTGTGTGCAGTACACAACTAGTTCAGCCCTACCTGCTATGGACAACATGCACCACTTCAAGGGCTTTTTGGGTATGGGCTGGACTCAGCACTGCATGTGGCAAAGTGGGTCCAGTGCATGGCCTGCATGCAGTGCCTTGGACTAGCCCTTTGTACTGTCTACAGTGCCAGGTCATGCTTGCACGTTGCAGGCAGAGCACAGTCCCTGGGATTGGCATGTTCTTTGTGCCAATCTGGCACAAGCTGGATCTCGCTCTGCAGGCTGGAGGAGAGTAGTGGGGGGTCCTGGTCGGGCCCGCAGACTGGCTCAGGAATGTTCGTCCAGCCCATGAGGTTGGATGAGTTTGACACTCCTGTTTCAAATGAAGTTCTATACTGAAAGAAATAAGCATTTTTCCCTCTGCATTTCAGAAAGTGGTGTGTGTAGAGCAAGTGCTTTAGATATTCTAGCTGATTTATGCAGAAAAATACTGTTGTGACTGGCCATATACATGGAAAATTTCAAAGAAACACAGACTTTAAGATGCCCCCAAAAATGCAAAAATAATTTGAGTTTGAAATGAACAGTGTATAAAAATTAATAAAATGGCCTGTATGGTGTTAGGTATATAGGGTTCACATATATTGAACTTTGCAGTTTGGGGAATTATTCGTTGTGGTTATAACTCTGTCCTTGCTTTCCCCTGATGTCTCAATATATTGCAATACTCTTAGTATATGGTGTCATCACTATAGAATTCTAGTGCCCCTTGGATGCAATCAAAAATACTTTTCAAGGGACATACTGAAACTACATATCTTAATAGTTATCTAGAATTCACTGTATAAACAATCAAGTCTTTGCAGTGTGTTTATAGTTTTAAAGCTTACCATTCAATTCCAAACCCCATATGAACACTGCAATAAGCTTTCAGAATAAAAACGAAAGCTCACAGGCTATGAAGACATCTGTAAGCTTACAGGCTAAAGTGGCATCAACACTGTACATTTTAAACATATCTATCTAAAAATTGACCAAATAATTTGTTGTTTTCTGAAAAAATAAATTACATTTGACAAGAAACTGTTTGGCTTCTTCTGCACTGCTTTAAGGATACAATGCAGCGTTATGTCAATAGCCATACCTACATAAAGAGGTTACTACGGTGTTATCCTGGTTCACTTTTCATCATTAAGAGTGCACATCGCAGCTGTTACTCTTCCAGCAAAGACATCAGGGCTCCCAAAGGAGCTAGGGAAAACTGCTCTGTGATCAGATGAATTACTGTTGAGCAACACAGGGTGCTCTCCCACATCTATGAGCTGAATGTGTTATGTCCACCACATGCTCTGGCTCCTGCCAATTTATGCAGAGCTATTATAATAGTATTACAGAAACTGGTTTTAACATGTGATGGCAAAAGTCAGGGCACAGTAGCTCATTTCCAAATTGTTATTTGGTTAAGTTATTTTTTTCCCTTCTTTTATCTGAATAAGGACCTGACTTACTCTCTCTTATAAAAGCATGAGCAGTGCCTTTTCAAAAACAAAAACCATTTCTGCTTTTCAAAAGCACAAAAATGTGCCAGAAACTTTATAACTTCACACTGTTAGAAATCATAAAACACGCAAAGGGATGTTTTACAAAATGCATAAAAAATGTGCTGAGAATTGAGGTTTTTTTGTGCCAAGATTCATACTAGAGTGAATTCTTATAGCAAAGTTATAAAAACTCCTGAAAGTGTGCCTTTAAGTCCTGCTAGGCTCATTATAAAATGGACGCTGCTGTCATTAAAAAGAAAAATTAAAATTGATCATGCACTATTTATGTAAAAATCACAATCTAAATTACTCAGATTAGAAATTATTCTCTTTTGAGTGCCTCTAAGTACACTTACTTGTTTCTGCACTCCACTGAGCTGCTGAACCTTGATGATGAGTGAAGCTGTCCTGCCCTTGTACTGAATGGTTCTGATAAAGGTCCCTGCATTGTCCACACAGAATGGTTCAGACCACCGCCAGTTTCCCCAGCCTTCAATGCAGATGTGCAACAGCTGGAAAGAAAACAATCATTCCTTTAATTCAGAACTGAGGGGGGAAAAAGTCTCATACTAGAATGCAAGTTCCAATGCTGGGAAAGCCTTCCTTAGAAATGCCAACGGCAAACATATTATGCTTGAATAATTCACCTGTTTCTAGATTTGTTAACAATATAAAAAGCATAAGAAATACTCTGTCTGATTGCACTACAGAACTATCAAAATATATTTTCATATGATATACAGTGCATAATGATCTCAAACACTAAAGATCTAGCATGAAAATCTTTAAAACTAAACAACACACTGAAGAGCAGGGTACAGGAAACTGATTTAGAAATGCACTTCCTTTGTTATTAGCAGGTCCACAATTCAGATGCAGGACATTTTTCCCTTGATGGTATTAGTTGCAACTCTCTTTTCCTCTACCTTCCTTTCTGCCCAAAACAAAGCAAATCTGTATGTCTGTAATTTGTGCTCATAAATATATTAAATGAATACACATTTTAATACAGTACTTAACAATGAGAGACATCTTACTTCTTGTCATAACTTTTGTTGAAGGTACTGTCTTGTCCACATAAAGAGAAATTTCACTGTAGCACTATATCATTATAAATATACTGTTCCACCAATGAGAACCTGTATGACCACACTTATTCTGAATGCCTTTTTCCAGTTTTACTTCAGTCAGTTCCAAAGTTTTCTATATTTTTATCCATTATTCACAAGATATGACAGAAGAGACTAGGTGGCTGGGTTCAAGCCCACGTTTCTTGCATGGAACATTTTGGGGCAGTGCAGGAGCACAGTGTAAGCAGGCTTTACTGTAAATAATTCTTGTAAATAGTTCCCTAAGTTGATATCTATATGCCCTTTTCACCTCAGGGGAAGATGGCAGTCTGGGACTGGCAGCAGGGCCCAGACACTGCCCCTTGATTGGATTCTGGTGATTATATGTTTCATTGTTCTGGGTGAGTGTTGTCATCATGTTACTATAGTACTGTAACTGTTTTCTTGCAAGCATGGCTGACCGGGCCTCAGAAGCAAGGTTCTGAGAGAGCTGGACAGAGAGAGAACATCCCACAGCAGAACTGGGAGAAGGTCCCAGGATGGACAGGGAAAAAGTCCCAAGGTGGACAGGGAGTAAAGAAATGGTCCCAGGGAGGACTGAGTAAAGGCCAAGTGAGGACAGCGGCAACTGAAATGGCCCAATACAGCCTGTTTTGGAGCAGATATTGTGCTGTTTGGGACCCCTCCTCTTTAAAGAAGAAAGAGGAGGTGACAGAGGAGCTCACAGGTGGGGGTGCTATGGATCACTGGGAAGCCAGGGTCTGGGAAGCACCAGGGTCTCAAAGCAGAGGCTTGCCCCTCAAGAAGCTACAAGAGGGCTGGCTTCAGGGGCTCCTTCAGGAGAGGAAGACCAAATAAGGCTGCTTTTTGGAGGAGTCCCAAGGAAGAGCTTTCCCATTCACCTCAAAAGGGGTGTTTGATCCTGTGACACAAGGTGCACCTATCCCTAACCCGCAGAGGAGTAAGCCAGGTTCAATAACTGATTATAGCTCCATTTCAGTCAAAGAAGCTGCATCAATTTACACCAACTGAGGATCTAGCTGCTTAGCCCTAAATATTTTATTGCTATGCAAAACTGAGAACCTATATTGATATAGATGGGATCAAAACAATAAAAATTCTGGGTAAAATCCATTTCTTACAAAGGGTCAAAACACTTATGTATAGACAATGTGGGAACCCTCTGTTCCAGCCTGAATTTTACTCTGTATTTGGGCATCTGTCATTAATTAGTTTAATTAACTGGAAATAGGATCAAGCAGACACTATGATTACTACACTAATTAAAAATAGAAGTTGTGAGTATTAAGTCTTGCATGTTTTTAAAAAAATAAAAGCAGATAGTGAGTCTATAGGGTCAAGGGTGATGGGCTGAGTGTCTGGATATTATGCTTTTCCTGTGTTTTTAAGAAGCAGTCACTTCTAGGACTTTACAACTTAGGAGCCTGTTTGCAATTTGTGGTGTTCTCAGCACAAGATTACACACAAAACAAAAACTTTCAAAAGCCACAGTGAGTGGCTTTGGAATTGCTTGAGTGATGACTGTTGCACTCATATTCATATTCAGGTTACTTTATGTTAGAAACAGGCTTAATGGTTAACATTCACTCACACACACACACACACACACACACACACACACACACACACACACACACACACACACACACACACACAAGCAAGTACCTTCAGGAAAAGTGTGCTTTATGGCACAAAAGCTCTAACAGTGTGATGTTTAAATATTAGTTACACAAAAAGGAAAACAACTGGAGTGGCTGGAACCATTTCAGTTTCTTATGGCAGCAGCTGGGAAGACAGCTCGGCACATATGAAAATTAAAAGAAACAAGAAAGCTGTTTACTTTGGAGAGACTAGTCACTGGACATGACAAGAAAATAATGAGATACTAGGGGGTCAGTCCCAGCTACAATGTATTCAAAATACTCAGCAAGCCAAAAATAGATGTCACATATAAAGAAGTAATTGATAATTAGCATTTGCATATAACCTCAAATGTAGAATGGCTCCCACCCTGTTTAAACAGCTTGTTCATTCGCTGGATGTTGCTATCATCTTACATGTAGTTGTCATTAGGTCTCAAAATGTTGACTTAGTAACCTTCTTTGCATTGCAAGGATTTACTGTACATGCATTTGATAACTGTTCACAAAAAGATTAAGAGAACACATTGGTATAATATCCTAGTAATTACATTAGACACTTGTTCCTCTCAAAACATATAAAATATCTGGGAATATTATCGACAACATATAGCGACTTGCATATTTTATTTTAATTTTACCAAACATATTTGTACTCATGGCTTATTAATAGCCTGAATGACTTATGTTTACTTTAAAACCCTGTAGTTGTCTCTAAACTTTCAAATACAATCCATCTAGAAATATTTTTATTGTATTTATTAAGATGGGTATGTACATACCATTGATTTATTTTCTGTATTTTCTCTTTATTAGGGAATATGTTGTTTTGACTGAACTATACCGGTTTATACTGTAGCCACAGTCAGCACGCCTCCCATCTGTGGGAGCTCAGAATTGCTGAAAGGGGCTCTCTGTGCAGAGCAGGAGGCATCTGCAGGACATTTCAAAGTGACTGCCTTTACATTTAACAGTCACACCCAAAACAAAGGAAGCTGCCTCTTGTGCATAAATACAGGCTATCAGCTTTAACGAGATACTCCCATGCACACAGTCAATGTTCCTACATCCATGCTGGGATTCCTACATCATAAACACAACATTCCTACATCCACCTGGCTGGGGTCATCTGATCCCAGCACTTGTTCCTGCCCAGGGCAGGGGGTTGGGCTCGATGATCTAATAGGTCCCTAAAAATCTAATAGGTCCGACCCTAAAATCTATTACTGGCTGATTCTCTGGAAGTGAATGAAACTGGCACTGGGTAAACAGAGTAAGATGAAGGGGACTGGCACTGGGCTAAAGGAACAGAGAAAGCAGCATTCTCCCTCCACATCAGTGCCATGCCAGAAGAATAAATTGACATAAGGAAGGTGAAACAACCTATCAAAACTCTATGGACATTATTCTGTTTTCACTGAAATCTTAAAAGATGAGGCTCCAAGGGGTCCCTCTCAACCTGCCTGAAACTTTCTTCTCTTTACCGATTTTTTTTTCTCCTCCAGTTTACATTTGTTCACATTTTCAGTGAGTAATGAAGGAGATGCATAAGAATGGGTAGTGTCACCTGATAAGGCACAGAGGTTTTGCCCTGACTAATACTTCCAGATATGTAACTATGCACATTTTATACATGTAATCCAGGGACTTTAAGATTTTTAATCTTGACTTCTGTACGGTTTGCTGAATCAACCAAGTTAAACTCTTTCTCCCTATTACACTGGTTAACTGGCATGAGTGGGGTAAGGGGTGAGCAAGGTGTCTAAAACTTCTGGTTATCCGAGACAGGGGTTTTCAACCTTTTTGAAAACCCTTGCGGAGCAGGAGGGAGGTGGGGGTGGTGCTGGCTGCACGTGGAGCAGCAGCAGTACAAGGTGGTGGGTGGTGGTGGCTGCTGCCACGTGTGAATGCTTCCTCCCACGTCCGTCTGGGTGGAAATTCTGGTTAATAGAGTATTCCGGATAGTAGAATGCTGGCTAACACAGCTTTTACTGTATTATGTTAACTAACTAAACTTGCTTTTGAAAGATATCTTGGTTCACTGTCTGTGAACAGTGGAGGAGAGCTGTGCATTGGAACTTACAGAATCATAGAAGTAGGGTCAGAAGGGACCTTGTAGATCTTCAGGTCCGACCCCCTGCCCGGGCCGGAGAAAAGACTGGACTGAAATGAGTCCAGCCAGGTAGTCATCAAGCCTCTTCTTAAAGACCCCCACGGTAGGAGCCAGCACCACTTCTCTAGGAAGTTGGTTCCAGCTCCTAGCCGCCCTAACGGTGAAGTAGTTTTTG